ACCCAAGGAAAAGGAAAAATTAATAAGAACTAAATAGGGGGAGAAACAATTAGCACTGATGAGTGACAACTAGAAAAACCAAGACAAAGCCCACAAAATCACAAGCCATTACTAAAGAAGCAGCACATAATCATATGTTTTTTCTTCTGCACAGACAAACTGACGATTATAATCATTTCTGAGTTTCATGCCATGACCTCGGTCAGTTATGAGAAAAAGGGTGTGCTGAGACCTGTAAGACACGAAGATCCACTTGTTGACTCGATGGCACTCAGGTCACAATTTTCAGTGAACGCACAAATGATAGTTGTTTTTAATTCTCACAGGGACACACAGATCAACCAGGAAATATTTGCTCCCCACACCTTTAAGGGTGGGTCTATTTTTTATGCGTAACTTGTGACGGGCACACAGATTGCATTGTTGGAAACTGGATTAAATGAAGAGCGCGGCAATGGTAAAAATAAAACGAATGAATAAATCAAGGAGCTGTATAGTAAGGAATCAAGACATAACAGTGTAAATGTAAATTAGACAGAGCTGAGCCTGTTTGGAGAGGGATGAGTACAGATGGGAGAGCCAAACAAACAGAGCAGAGAAAAAAAAAAAAAGGAGTGGATTTGCACCATCAAAAGCAAGTCAAATCTGACATGGCAGCTTTTATCAGCGCAGGGTTTTTGCCGGGTCACACTGTGGTTTCTCCTGGCTCCAAGGTACTCCAGGGTGGGTTCAGGCTCTGGAAATCCAGGACAAAGATTTGCATTCATGGAAAGGAGCCAGAGGTGCAGAATGCAAAACTCTGCACAGCTGTTTGTAAGATAATGGTGTTTCTATGATATGCACTGACACTGCCATCCCACTGTGCAATTATTTGCATTTGAGGAAATACATTGCATAATGTTTTGTTTAAAATTTAAACAGGGGATATTATTAAACTTACAATTTGACATGGCATCTATTTTACTGGTCAAAAGGGAAAACAAAACTGTCTGTCAGTTTTTTAGAATTTCAAAACAGGAAAGGCGGTCAACTTAGAAAGATGGCATGGGCCTTTTTTTAGAATGTATTTCTTTCTACAGTCTGGCATAGTCATGATTTTTTTTTCAAACTCATTTATCATTCTCAGACGTGAATGTTTATCAGAATACTACCTGTCATAGGACAGCCTTTTTACAGGAATCTGTAGCAGGCCAAAGATGCAACTGATCATGGTGAGATAATCAGCTTTGTGTGATCACATAATCAGCAATCAGCCCCAGAATTATTCTACATGACATGTTCCTGAGGGGAAGTCACGAAGGTTTTTCAGGCCCTGGATCCTTTCTATCTGAATCATTTATATAGCAATTACATCCAAGTTTGTTCCTTCAAAACCTGGCTTTAAATTGGACATTTGAAGCTTTTATGACTTGATTTATGTTCCAGCAATAATGACGGTAAGAAAAAGTTTGCTGTTGTGAAGGAAACAGAATGCATAACAAAAAAAACAACAACACAAGAATGAACACTAATTAACAGTCACAGCTTTCGGTATCAAAGCGTCTTTAAATACTTGGCACATATACCAATTGGACCTAAGCCCAAATCTCTTGGCAACGCACTTGCAATCTTCTAGACTTGTGTTTAGCAATCTTTTGTATGACCCAGATTCCATACTTTCCCATCTTTGGATCAATTAATTAAATCAATCTATACTTTTCAATCTTAAATTTGCTTATATATGGAAAGAAAGCCCTGCCTCACTTGTTATGATGCAATTTATTTATTGGTAGTATTTAGTCACTATGTGATGGACCCTCTTATGTAATGCTTGGATAAATACATGTGGACTTTTTCGAGAGATTTCACACCTTTGTCATTCAATACTGTCATTTTATGTAGACATCCAGGCCTTTTCAAGTTGCTTGACTCAACGGCTTTTCTTCTGTTTTTCTTTTTTGTATGATTGACCAAAGGCATTTGCCACACCTTATTGTCCCGTGGATTATTTTGTTCTTGTTTGTGCGGCCTAACCATGGCATAACAATGCTGTGACTTTCTTTGCATGTTCCCACTGACAGATGCCATACTTTGAATCAAATGCAGATTAGTCACCTGTTTATCTTGCCAAGAAGTAAAAAAGAAAACATTTTGTACTGGGTACAAAGCTGCTTTTAAGAGTATAATTTTTGTTTTATCAAACTTTTTTATTATTCTCGGAAGTGAATGTTTATCAGTATACTGTCATAGGACAGCCTTTTTACAGGAATCCTTAGCAGGCCAAAGATGTAACTGATCATGGTGAGATAATCAGCTTTCTGAGATCAGCCCCAGAATTATTCTACAGGACGCACAGCCTCCTGAGTGAAACTGCGGAGGAAATCGCAGAGCTTTTTCAGGCCCTGGCTCATTTCTATCTGGATTATTTCTGCGTTGACTTCGGTTTGGATATAACAGTCATTTTTCAGTGTTGTTCTCTTTGTAACATGTTTTCTCCAGAAACAAACGTGTTGCAATTTTATCCGAGTTTGTTCCTTCAAAACCTGGATTTAAATTGGACATTTGGAGCTTTTGTGGCTTGATTTGCGTTCCAGCAACGATGACGGAACAAAATGTTTCTTATTGTGAAGGAGACAGAAGACGCTACAAAAAAAAAACCCACAAAGAAGAAAACTTTTGCGAGCAGAAGTATTGGCTCCCTTTTCAGTCGGTACTTTGATGAACACTGATCAACAGTGACAGCTTTCAGTGTCAAAGCGTCTATAAATACTTGGCACATATATTATTTGGACCTAAGCCAAAATCTCTTGGCAAACACATTTGAGATCTTTTTAAAAGTTGATTGAGTTTCACATGTGTTCAGAAATCTTTTGTATGACCCAGATTCCATAATTTCCCATCTTTGGATCAATTAATTAAATCTATCTATACTTTTCAATCTTAAATTTGCTTATATATAAAAAGAAAGCCCTGCCTCACTTGTTATGATGCAATTTATTTATTGGTAGTATTTAGTCACTTTGTGATGGACCCTCTTATGTAATGCTTGGATAAATACATGTGGACTTTTTCGAGGGATTTGACATCTTTTGTCATTCATTACTGGCATCTTACGTGGACATCCAGGCCTTTTCAAGTTGCTTGGCTCAACGGCTTTTCTTCTGTTTTTCTTTTTCTTTTTTGTATGATCGACCAAAGGCATTTGCCACACCTTATTGTCCTGTGGATCATTTTGTTCTTGTATTTGCAGCCTAACAATGGCATAACAATGTCATACTGAGTTTTTTTGTGAGCATTCTGACAGATGCCATACTTTTAATCAAATGCAGATTAGTCACCAGTTTATCTTGCCAAGAACTAAGTAAGAAAACATTTTGTACTGGATACAAAGCTGGTTTGAAGAAAACTGTCCACTTGCTTTTTAAATTGAATTCTTTTGAATGTCGAAACAAAATTATTCATAACTTAAAATGAGATCAGAATTTAAGTGTGTGAACTTCTTATTCATCACCATCGATCAGATATGCTTCGGTGAAGACAATTTGTCCTGTCCAAATATCTCCAGATCAAACCAAATACTTAGTTTATGACTACTTTACCTAAGACTTATTACATTTTGAACACAGAAATTGTATCATAACTTGTTCTTTATCGCCACCCTGTGGAAGTTGTGAGGAAAATGATCTGATACTTCAGAGAAGTTATTTTTCGTGGGAAAAGGTTTGAGAAAAGGAACTTAGCCCATAAGGCCAAGATAAAAAGCGGCTGTGTAGGCCCTGGAGGGATCCTAAGACTTTAAACTCATACAATTTTCTCTTGGATTTATGTTTGAGAAATGTGATACAGAAAAATCTACTGAAGGCTAAATCAAATCAGTACAATTTCTCTGCACCTTGTGGACGAGTTGATATCAGGCTTTCATGCAACAAAATATATAAAATTGGCAATATTTCATAGTAGAGCAAAGCCATCATGTTCTCATAAAATATGTGATACATTAGAACACAGCATCCAGCAATATATGGGACTTGAGAACTGCCTTTTATTCATTTTTAGTCCTGTCTACGTACTATACAGTAAAAGACACATTTACGTACTGCAATTCTTTGCTTATACAGTTATTTAAGCCTGATCAGTGCTTTTTTCACTATCATACCCACATACATACGCACATTATGATGAATGCATGATTGGCAAAGTGGCCTTGAAAATGTCTCCCTACCATATTTATGTTGGAGGCCATGGTTTCCGATTCAAGGTTGTTATATTTAACATATATATGTATACCATGACTGCACAATATTGTAGTTTCATTACATTTTTTTGTGTGTACTCATCTTGTTATCCAACAATTTCCCTTTGAAACAAGTGTCTCCTAAAGATCATTCATTAGATAACCTACATAATAATACCACACTAAGATTATCTTTAAAACTGATACAAGCTCGGTTATCTACTATTGACAGCCTCAAAAACAGTCCCATTACAAAAACTGTCCAAAGTATAAACAACTAAATTAAAGAAGTAATTAATTTCAAGAAAACATTTATGCTGTTTCCCCTCCAAAAAAAGGGTCCAAAACCACCATCCACAATTAATATAGTCCTTGTTCTGTGTGGGGTTTATGCGTTATCCAATAACTCACTCTCCAGGTTGTTAGCATTCCTGAAATTCTTGGGTTTCAAACATTTAACTGGAGCCCTCCACGTGATTTTTCAGTCATTTAAAAATGACTGGACCCATTAAAGAGTTGTATTAACTTGTGAAGGGTGGATGTGCCACATGGTGACGTATTGTTGTGCGTCCCCCACTAAAACGCCCCTGTGGCTTGCGGAACCAATTAAATCCCCTCCGTTCGCTCGTGCCAACCTGAGCACCGACACAAACACGCGCCACCGCTCGTTCCGAGGACCCCCGGCTCGTGTTTCGCCCACAGAAGTCACCCAAAAAAAACCAACAACAACCCGCGTCTGTTTAAAACGGAGTCGTCGTTGTGTTAGTGTTTACGGAGCTGGGAGAAGAGGAGGAGGAGGAGGAGGGGGAGGTGGTTGTCCCGCGGCTTGGCGTCCACAGCTCGCTGCTAACCCACCTTTCCTAACCGGGAGCTGAGTGCAAATGGCAGAGCAGGAGGAGCAGCCGTTAACCGCGCCGGACGAGCCGGTGCCCGGCCCGTCGGGGACCGGGCGAGCGGTGGCTCTGGCCCGGCTACTTCACCACGAATGTACCGAACTGCTGCGGCTATACGTGAGTTAGCCGTTTCTACCTTACGGTCCCGTTATATGTGGCGTGCTCTAATGCGAGCATGTTGCTGTGCTGAGGCAGCTAGCTACCGCTCACATCTCCGTGTGTGTGTGTGTGTGTGTGTGTGTGTGTGTGTGTGGGGGGGGGGGGGGGGGGGTGTTACTGAGTGCATTTAACATTCGGGAATGTGCACGTCTGTGCCCTTGTAAAGGGAGCTGTGCCGCAGGGCTTAATTACATTAAAAGACCCCCTCCACCCGCAGCCATTCCCCCCTGGGGTGCCTAATGGATAGAGTGCATTCAATTTTCATATGCTGCTGATGCTTGTGCGCCTCACTGTCCCTTTAAAAGCCTTTTAATTGATCACTGTGATTAAAGATGTTCTAAACTAAGATTAATGGCAGAAGGGAGCTGCCAGTGGCACCCTTGCACCAAGCATTAAGTTGACATCCCAATGTCGTCTCTTGGCTTCATCAGAAAGAGAGGGAGACCTTCTTGTCGGACCACGCCCCAGACGGCGGACGCATGGTGTCCCTGTCCCCAGAGGCGGAGGAGCCCGGCACAGATGAGCAGGTGCAGCTGCTGCACTCGGCTCTGCGGCAGTGTCTGGGGCTGCTCCACTGCCTCATCCTGAAGGAGGAGGAGGAATGGGGGAAGCAGGAAGGCGACTATGAAACCATGAGGAAGAGTGTCCGGGTGCGACTGGAGCACCTGCTCTGCAGCACCAAAGAGCTTGTGGAGACCGAGGACACGACCCCCGAAGTCACCCCAGATCATCAGTGCAACGAGGTGAAGAACTCGTTACGGTTCTTTCCTATCCGCATAAGTCTCCGTTTGTTGGTCATCCTGGAAATATCGTGAGAGCAGTCAAAACACAACCAGTTGCATTGGCATTTTAAACACATACCCGTACTTTCAAATGAAATTACTTTGAATTTGAGTCATTCTTACAGGCCTACAGTTATCTGACTGTCTTGAAACCGAAAGGTTTCTTTGCGGATCATCAATATTTATTCAAACAGAACTTTTTTTTTTTTTGCTGTTCGCATTTTACAGCTTCGTTTTCTGTCTTTTGCCTTTCCACATGAGGACCACACAGATTATTCTCAGGTCCCTCACCTGTAGTATATTATCAGAAGTCTGAATATTATTAGTGTGACATGGATTCACAATTTCCAAAGCTTCTGACCCAAACCTGTTGTGAACTAATAATCCATTAAAGTAAAATATGGTAAATGTATCTGACAATGTAGGCTGACAAATGTACTCAACTTTTTCTTATGCACAGAGTGTGCATATCTAGACATATCCTAACTTGCTTTCCTCTGTGCAGGAAGTGGATGGCAGCGGGGGCGTGTTTGGCTTCAAAATGTGGACCTACCGGGTGCTGCTAGAGCTAATCCACTGGGCTGACCACGCAGCACAGACCCTCCATGTCTTACACACAGAAAAGGAAGGAACAGAGGAGATCTGAGTTCCTCCCTTTCAATCCAGCAACATATATGAATGAACTTATTCAACACTAACAGCCAGCTTTATATTTTCCAAATGAAAAATATAAACTGATGTGGCGTGCACTCTGTGAACAGTCAAGGTGAAAGTGCACAGCTTAACTAAAACTACGCCTAATCCTCTTTATCAAAGCCAAGTAGACCGCTATTCCCAGACATTGGTATTTCCACTGTAAGTGCTAGAATGACCACTAGTTCCCCAGTGTTTGGAATTTCCTTTTCACAAAAAAGTGCAGGATTGTTTGCTGTATGCAGTGACATAGTTAGACTGTTGTCTAGACTTTTTTTCTAGTATGCTGTGTAAAATATTTTATTTAAATAGATCTCCTCTGAGTAAAAATCTGCTTTTTGTAACACTCCAAAATCTACTAATTGCCAGAATATAACCAATAATATATGACTGAAAAAACTGTGACTGAAATGCAGTTGAATGTGTAGCCATTTACTGTTTCGACAGGTCTCTTAGCTTTAAACGAACAACCTTATTAACCTATTTAACCTATATGACTGAAAATCAGATTCCTTGTCATGTACTGGATGCTTGTCATGTGTATGGTTCGGGACAATCTGTGATAAAGTGTCATGTTCTGCTGCTCTTTTCACCAAGTTCTCTCCTGATGTTATACTTGAATGTGCTGCTGCACTGTCCATTTGTTTGAGCTGTTAGACCAATTGGTTTCTACCGTCTGCCTCTTTGGGAGCCAGAAATTGTGAACCCCAATTTTAGACTGTTATTCTACAGCAGGGCCATACTGTCTGTACCCAGAAGTACCACTTTGAATGAACCACAACAACTTCACTGTAGACTGTCACAGTGTTCACTCTTTTAAATGAATGCGATATGACTTCCAGGCCTGCCAGTATGGGGAATTTCTAACTGCAATGCTTTCTTTATTTTTGTGAAGATTAACTGGATGTGCATTGAACATTAAAACAAAAACACTATCTTAATCCTTGTCATCTTTTGATTTTATCTTTATTTTCTCCTCTGTCCAGAAGTATTCATTCCTTATTTGTTTGTAGGTAAAAATATCACTGCAGAATTTATTTGCAAGTAAATCTGTTTTTTAGGACCTTCTTCAGATATTTCCTGGAATGAAAGCTATTGGCAGGTTTATGGTTAGTCTCAACTTTTCGCACATGCAAGATAACTGTTTAACATGTAAATAAGGCATTTCTCGGGAAGCAAACTCTCAAACACACAAATGTAGCAAGCACAACACGACGGTAAACTTTTCCAACCGCAATAAGTTTCTTTCAGAATTATTTTGTATATGATTAACATACTAATAAATTAATGTTATTTACCAAATGAGGATAAAGTTTTATATAAATTGTTTATCTGTTTTATATATGCATTTAGATATGCTTCCTAACTTGTGTAGTGCTGATAGTTATTTTCAACAAAAGATGGAGCCTCATAATTGCATTGAATTGAGTTATTTGAAAGCACTGATTCAGTAAACCTTTTATACAAATCACCACAACGCCGGATTTAACGTTACAAAGCTGGCTTTGCTGTCTGTGCTTCTAAATGACATGAGTGTTCCTTTGATATCAACTGTAATAGCTCCTTACAGTTTCAGCAGGTTCGTGCACCCCATTTTAACAGTAGAACCCCAAAAGATGTTGTGCACATGCGCGGTGTGCAATCTACCGGAGCGCGAGAGGTAGGGAAGGCAGTCCTAATGGCGGAGAATGTACGGTCGCCTTTTGACTACCGGGAGCCCCCGACCCTCGACAGCGACGGGGATGGCAGCAAGCCCCCGCCGCCACGGGGGTGAGTGAGTGCGGCACGCCTCCGGTTTTGTCGACGCGAGTATTTGTTTTTCAGCGGAGATTTTGTGCGCAAAATGCCAGAGCCCCGGACGCACGCGCCGGGAGCGTGCGCGTCCATTTAGTTAACGCTGGAAGCCTGTGTTCCTGTGCATGGTTTTCGGCGTTATGTTGCAGAAAGCAGAGACGGGGAAGTCCGTTCGGCCTGGCTGTCGGTTGCAGCCGGTGTAGCCCGCGGGGCCGCGTCCTCTCGGGGTCCGGCTCGCCTCACACATGGTCGCCAGCCTTTTATTTTCATGTTTTGGCGCTGGAAGTATCAGCTAGCTTCTGGAAGCTAACGGGCTAGCCGCCGCTTAGCTTTAATGTTAGCATGCATCATCTGCTCTCTAACCCTGCGGATCAACAGTCTTATCTGGAGTACATCATATTTCTCAAGCTCTGTATCTCTCCACCAATCCTTCGTTAACGTTTTGTAGCTTTGAACACTTATTGGCTGCTCAGTCGCAGCGGATCATGAGTTCTGGTTTGTTTTGGTGTAGGGTAAACAAAGTTGCTGACCACCACCAAAATACACCGGACCCACAGTGGACTGTCACCAGGCACAGTGAATGAGGCACGCTTTGTTGGGCCAACCGCTTTTTAAAATCGCAGCTGCATAGTCTTAGCGAGTGGTGATGGGCATGCTCTGTTTCTATCTTATGGTTGAAGAATAATAATGATTAGCAGCAATCAAAGCTGTGGTGCAGCAGATTTGTGGTTTTATCACAGATCCATCGCTTTGCTGCTTTTCTATTCTTGCAGACTGTCTGAATAATGCTTGTTTGTGTGTGAGGTTTATCTCAGCTGTTGATATGCTGACAAGTTCTACTTTAAAAATCAAACAAAGCCAAGATGTTGATGAGGTTAAATCTTCGTCTTGTTTTTTTTATGCTTAAAATCCTTTTAATTCAATGTCATTGGGTTTTTTGACTCACCATGGAACAAGATTAGTTTTTTTAGAAGGCACCACAGGAATAGAAAAAAAAAAACTTTTTATTGTACTTAATTTGATGTATTATACATTAAATAGTTTATGTATTTATCTAGTATTAGGCAGTCTGGCTAATATTTACCCTGTAATAACACCCCTAAAGTCCTAGAATGGTTTTGAGATGAAGTAATTTTAAAGCTGAACTTAAACAGAACTGTTAAACCACCTAGACCATCATCATTTCCAGAAGACATCAAGCTGTTTATGCATTTGCTGTTTTTGTTTTCCAGTTCTTGCTTTGCCTCAGTACGCTTACACCGCTTATTTTTATCCTCGTCTTTCTTAGAATATTTACATAAGGAAAGTCTTAAACGCTGGTTTGTTAGACTGCGCGATAAACCTAAACAGCGACCTTTGTTTTCACAGCCGAGTGTGTGGGAGAAAAAGGAAGGGGACACCTGTGAAGGTGTGTGACCGAGCGTATGTAACAGAAGATGAGGAGGAGGAGAGCATGTCAGAGCACAGCTACAGCCCCGGTAAGGGAACAAAGACGCGCAAAAGCAATTTGCCACCTGTTGTTGATGTATTTAACCATGGTGGTGTTTAAGGAAAATGATGGTGTTGCGTTGCACCCTCCCCACGTTCGATCATCAGACTTATTTTTGGCACCAGGGAAGATAAGCAGTGCTCGTGTTTGACAGCTTGTTTCATTATCAGGTGATGGCCCGTACCCAGAGGGTGCAGAAGACCGTCTCCCTCCCCCTGGCAGTCCGTACTACCTCCCTGATCCCTCTCAGCTCTGGTAGGGAAGTCCCTCCACCAGCTTTCCAAGCTGCTCCTTATAGACAGAGGAACCATGTTGCTCTTATGTCCTCTTATGTTTTCCAGTGTGCCAGAATTGGGAGAGGAGGGTGCAGGTGGTGTCCGGGGACCAGTGCTTTTTCACCCACCACCCAATTGCCGAATCAGAGAAGTCCACTGTGGGACCCAGGTGCGGTTGGTTGTCATAGCAATCCGGGACATCGCAAAAGGGGAGGAGATCACAGTGGACTACAGCCTGACGGACTGGGGCGAGAACGCATTGGTGAGAGTTTTTGTCAGTCTAAACAAGCCATACTAAAGAAATGTAAATCTGATCAAGAACGAGCATCGAAGAGGTTAGGGAACACAAATGGAATAGATAACCTATTTTTGTTTTGCTTCAATAAGCAACTATTCCAAAAAATAATAATTAAAGGTCCTTTTAACCTTTAATGTTTTCTTCCATTTGGAATCATTTGTGTTTCAAGGAGGAGGAGGCTGGCCCCCATCCACTGTCCCTGTCTGTTTCTGATTACCTGACTCCCTCCTGGTCATTATCCCCTTCATCCTCCCCACTCACCCATTCTGAGCCCAGCGACTCTGACCGAGAGGAGGATGAAGAGGAGGAAGACGATGACGACGACGACGACGATGAAGAGGAGGAGATCGAGGAGATCAGGGGCCGAATACTTCGCCGGCGCAAAAAACGCAAGCTTTCCACGCCGGTTGATGCCAAGAAGAAGAGCGTGCCCTCGTCCTCCAGGGGGCCCGGCCGCCCCTGCTCCTCCTTTTCCCGCCCAGCGCCGGCCCCGCCCACGGCCAGGTCCCAGGGCTCGGTCAACACGCTTTCGCCCCCGACCACCAACATAAACAATAACATCAACATAAACATCGGCAGCTCCGCGGGGGCTCCTGTGAGCCGGCGCCAGCACTGCCCCTACTGCGGCCGCCACTTTCGCTCCTTAGCACGCCACCTGGAGAAGTATCATGCCAACCAGCCCGACGTGAGAACGGCCATGGAGCTGGCCCACCTCCACACGCACGGCTCCTCCAATGGCAGCGCCCCTCACCCGCACCCCTCCTCATCTACTACCTCTGCTCCCCATTCGTTCGCTGTCCCTCAGCCCTCCGTCTCCAGCTCCACTCCGCCCTCTCTCTTCTCCAGGGAGAGGGAGCCTCCAGCCACTCGACTAAACACGGGTGGCGTCTCTTTCTCCCTGTCACTTTCGCCGCCTTCTTCAGCTCAGCCTGCAGCCGCGAAGAAGGCGGCTAACGTACCACTGCCTACGGCAAAGCTCCCCCCTCCCTCGATGCAAACCCGGGTAAAGAGTCCGTCACCCCCTGCCCCCTCCACTCCGAGAAGGGGCCGGAGGATGAAGACTGAAAAGCACGAGGAGCAGCCGAAGGTGGAGGTGGAGAACTCGAGAAATCAAGAGGAGCTGCTGCCCCCTCCTACACCAGAGCCAGATGTTGATCCAGATGAAGAACTGGAGCTGAGTGGAGAAGGGGAGGACGACGCACCAGAGGAGAAGAATGGAGAAGTAGTAAGGTGTGGTTGGATTGTTTTCTTTCAGTTGACCAAGTTGTGCCCGATTGCCTTTTTCCGTCGTGCAGTGAGTGACTTATTGAAGTGTTCTGTCTCTCTTCCATCTCTAGCGCGCAGAGACAGCACATTTCTCCGCTGCTGTCCTCCCTGTCTTGCTTGGTGCTCTACCTCCGTCACCAGCAGCACTCCTCTTTCCTCTCTTTGACTCGCTCTCCTCACTCCGCCGAGGCCTGGCGCCTGCTGTGCCACTCCAGCCTCTCCCTGCTCATCCTCTACAACCGCCATCGGGAATGTGAGGTGGCCAAGCTCACCATCCAGGACTACCGCAACCGCATCACTGCGCAGCCCGGCCCCAACCCCCCCTCTGGCATGGAAGCCCTCCTGTCCCCCTTCGAACGCCAGGTCCTCTGTCACCTCCCACGGGCGGGTGTCTTAGGCAAGCGCGGCCGCGTCCAGCCCCTCATCTTCCCGCCACACTGTGAGTCCTGCCTGGACCTGCTTCTACGAACCAGCCCCAACGTGGGCGTGGACCCCGAGAGCCCCTACGTCTTCTCGCGGCCCTACCACTCTCCCGCCACCCCTCTGCGCGGCACGGACCTGCTGAGAAACCTGGCGCGAGCCAGCGGGGCCAAGAACGCCGGGTCTCTGACGGCCACGCGGGTCCGCCGGCAGGTGGCCATCCTCACCCAGCTGCTGCTGCTGGAGGAGGGGGAGGCCGGAGGGGTCAAGCGGCTGGAGGACTTCCTGGAGCGCGAGTACCACGTGACCCAGAACTGCTCCTCCATCATACGAGACCCGGCGCTGATGGGTCGCGTCGGGCGCGTTGTGCTGTACGGAGAAAGGGAGGGGGTGCTTTTCAGGGGCATGAGCCTGCAGGACATCTGCCTCGAGTTAGACGGTGAGGAGCGTCAAGCTTCTTTTTTTCCTGCAGAAGTGGGAAGGCCTTTTGGTTCGTGGTGTTCTTTTAAATGTGAACATTTTGGCCGAAAAGGCCCGGGAATTTGATAAATATGCCAAGGCAGATTTCTAAGAAACGTTAGGAATATAGATACCTTTAATTATTCATCTTTCAAATTGTTAAACGTAGAAAACCAGGCTCAAGTTACCTCTTTTTCAAGTTACCCCCCCCCACCACCACCACCACCACCCCATACATTTTTTTGTACTGCTCAGAAATCAAAGTAATTTTTTCAGTGTTTTTAAATCCTTGGTTGTTGGCCTATTTAGCACTTACATTTTAATCATTACAAATCTATAACATGTTTTTATGACCTGAATAGAAAATATGAATTCATGATGAAGGATGTCTGTGACCGAAAATATTTATAATTTTACATTCTGTTTCAACCAGTTAATGCAAACTGTAGATCCATCTGCATAACTTTGACTCCTGTTTTCTGCGTTTTACCCTCTATGTGCAGTTATGTCTGGCAACTCGGCGGATTCGTTTTCAGAAGATTCGGAGCCAGAGGAAGAGAAACATGAAGTTAAGGAGAAGGCAGAGGTGAAGACGAAGAAGAAAGGGCCCGGCCGGCCGCCGCGTAAGAAGAAAGCGCCCGTTCCTTCACCTGGCGGCCTGCAAATCGCCAATGACCACAAGAGGAGATGCGTTCCTCCCAAATCAGGTACCGGTTTGTCCTGTACAGGGTGAGCGGGCATTCGGTCGTCCTGGCGCTCTGGTCGCTCGCGCCTAATCCTCCCAACGCTCTCTGCAGGGAAGCGGGGTGTGCTGAAGCGTCCCTGGTCGGAGGCGGAGCGCGTAGCGGTGGAGACCAACCTGAAGAGAAACCTGCTGGAGCTGCGCGTCCCCGCCAAGGCCGACTGCGAGCGCTGCCTGGAACTCTGCCCCCTGCTGGTGAGCAACCAGCGAGACTGGAGAGCGATCAAGTTTTACGTGCACAACCGCATCCAGCTGCTAAAGAAGCAGGGGAGGAGGGAAAGCGCCGCCGCCGTCAGCTAGAGCAGAGCGGCGCCGGAGGACGGGCGTCGTGAGGGTTGATCCACCAGCAGTCACTGTGGAGAGACAAACTCTGGGCTGCTGCTTTCATTTTTCTGCCATGGATGCAGCAGTCAAAGTTAAGATGCATTCCAGGTCTCGTCGACCTGGTCACGAGGGAGTAGTGTAATAAAAGTGACTAAGCTAAGGGGGCGGATGGGTGAGGGATTATGCGTGCCCCCCAGTTGCCGTTTCCCGCCGTCTGTTTTCAGTTGCATTAGGACGACATGTCCGTGTACTTGTGAGGTCAGACACAGTGAATCGCTATTTCTTTTCAAAATGTCATTTTAACTTAAAGTGAAGGGGAAACCAGGTGGTCGGGGTAACAAGCACCAAATGTCTGTGGAGTGATTTGTGCTTTAAACAGGAGAAACCACAGCAAATAGTCCCTACATGATTATTTGCTTTGCCTGAAGGCTGTTGACCAAACGTGAATGTGTAAAGCTTTGGGAGAAGAAACCTAAAGGGTGTGATCTTCAAATGAGCAGAAGACAACACCTCTCGCTGATTCATATGAACTTGTATAGTTTGTGTTTAATTCTGACATTGTGCTCCCAAATGATGAGTGTATTTAAAAAAAAAAAGTGTTTTTCAGTGTCTCAGACCATAATGCAACGATTAAGTGTTTTTTGCATACCTCTATACCACGATCATAGACTAGTATGTATCAATGCACACTGACTTGAATTTACCAAGCATCAACATTTTTAAAAAATAATGTATTTCAGAATCAACATATGGTCTTATTCATAATGTAAATACTTCTAAACTTTGAAAGTATTAGTAAGTTGTTGTGTTATGTACATATTGTAAATACTACCTGTACTTATTAAAAATGTATGACATTTTGATGTGTTTTTTTAAACTGGACTGTGAATTATCCATTGTGAAAACAGTGATATGAAGAAAATAGAAATGATAAATACAAATACCATCATAATGTTTTCCCCCCCTTTATTTGAAAACCTGAGAAATACAGCATGCTGTTGGAATAACACATGTACCAGTCACCGTATACACAACATACACTGTCACTGGTAAAAAATACACCTATTTTTACGATTAAAATGTATCAAGATCATCAAATACACACAGGGACTTACAATTCTAGTAATCTCCTGCATAAAGCTGCCAAAAGGTGAGTGTTTTGAACCTTCGTAACTACATTTAACAAGCAAAAGTCAAGTTTACATGAGTTCAGGGTTTGACTATCACATCCTACATGGACACACATTAGTAGATATGTTACACAAAAATATGAATTAAGGAAATTAAATATGCTTTATCTCCCAAGACTGTTACAACCAAGTCAGTAGCTTAAAACCAAAAAATTAATATTTACTGTTGTTTCTATATTTTCTTTAACATACAATGTGAGATCATTTGAAAAGAGGTTAAAAAATGACCTGGTATGAGTCAGTTGGACCGGAAATGTGTTTCATAATAGCTTAGCTGGAGTAGGAGAACAGACGTTCTGATGTAGTTTTGTGATTTGTAGTGGATATTTGAGTACATTTAATGATAAAACTTAGTGTGGTGTCAGCTCTTAAGTTTGAAAAACACAACAAAGTTGCACTGAGTGGCACAGTCCTTGTTAATGCCTTAATAGTTGCAATCTCTAGTTCTTCTTGCACAGAAGATTTTTTTAACCATTTGCATATGACTGGAATTCCTAATTTAAGAAGTCAAGTAAAAAATGCGTTTCAAAACATAAATGCACCACTTAAAATGTTACAATTTAGGAGTGTCAGAGGAAATTGGTACCTGAAAATCCCTCTGCAACACATCGACTAAACATGAACTCAATTTTTAATCCAGTCAAGTACCGTTTACAAGAATCAGAATTCCTATGTCCACCAGGGGGTGGACTCAAACCTTATATGCCAGTACGGGTCCTTTTTTTTAAGATAAAATGTTGGGGGTTTGGGGAGGCTGCCTCTGCATCCAATAAAGCCCAGTCTGGTCTGATTGGTCAGCGCTTTAAAAGTGTTACCTTTTTTACTCCATTGATTCCTTAAATATTTACAAATGAGAAAGGTAGAGTGGATTTTGTTAGATTTGTACACAATTGAAACTCAGCAAAGGACAAAAGTCCAAGACTGAGATTCAAACTGTTCCGTTTAGTCATAACTGTAGTTACTTATGCTGTAGATTGAGAAGCAGACTGTTCTCCGGAATCTACTTTTCCATTGTCACTAGACTGCTCTGACACATGTATTATCTCCATAGGCCCTTTATCGCCTATCCCGGGATTGAATAATGGGAATACTTCCCCCGTAAATGAAACCGTGAAAGACCCAATCGGGCTATTTTCCTCTACATCATAAAAAGAGAGCTCCTTTTGGCTGAAGTCCAAATAAACTCCAACCGTTTTGGGCTTTGACTGAATAGGCAGGGACACTGTTGGTTCAGTGCTAAGGTGTAAAGTATTTTCAGTGTCGGGAGAGGACGACAGGAACCAGAAACCATTTGATGCGTTGGCAGAGAAACACTTTGTTTGGGGGATCGCAGTTACACTTGTAACTCCGATCCACCAGGACTTCTTTTGGCCTATAGTAGGTTTCCACAAGGAAACCTCCCAGTAGTGTTGTCCACTGGAGAAAGCTGGTCTTCCTCTGATAGCTGTGAGACACGTAACCATATCTCCATCTGGAAATTTCCCTTCAGCGTCTCTCAGCACATTCCCTTTGGTTTTGAGAGAGTCATTACTTGTCTCCTCCAGTTCAATATTTCCTGTAGGAGATTAAAAATTTGATTAAAATGAATGGCAACAACTGTGGTGTTAAGAAAGCTAGATCATAAATGAGGTTCTCAACAAGTCAGAATCTTACTGTAATACTTGCGAGCTTGCAACACAGCTGTGGGGAAGCAAGGAGAGCACACCTGTTTACATCTTTGAACTTTTCAAAGTTTTCTTCAATCATAGAAACAATAATATGAAATCTTACTTTTTGGTAAAAGTGGATTGTTCTCTGAGGAGGAAAAAAAAGGTTTGTAAGTATTTTGCATCGCGGGAAGCAGAATCAACAGCTTTGAACTGGCAAAAGATGAAATGCGCTGCTGTTGTTGGAAATACTGGCTGAAGATTGTGGAAGAGCGGCAGCTGGTAGCAGTTAGAACTGTAACTTTCGGTACTACCAAAAGTGCTCACATATGATAAACCATCAGTGAAAGATAATGTGATTTTAAAAAAATCTGTAATGTTTCCTACCCTCAGTGCAGTCTGTGGGTTTCTTCCCTACAACAAAAGAAAACATTCAAAGGTTTGTCTTTACTCATATTTACAGTGTGTCTAGAATGGCTCATGTCATCTGTATTTTCTGTAAATAAAACCCATTACCTCTCTTTTTGAAGTAGAATAAACCGGCTAGTACGGCCAAAGCGACGAGGAGCAGACCGAAAGCTACCCAACCGCCCACAGAGGGTGCTAACACAAAAAACAGGCAGGGTTTCTCGCCTTTTTGCACGTTTTTACAGCGAAAAAGAAAGAAATCAAGAAAACAGTTGCAAATGGGCCAGTAATTCTCACCTTTTTCAGGAGTTTTCCCCAAGAGCAGTCGTGCCTTCTTGCCCTCCATATAAGAGACACCCACTGAGCAGGACACCTCCGAGAATTCTGAGGCAAGAAGCCAGCTGTGGACCGAGAGAAGACCGGAGGAGAGTTTCCTGTACACCAAACCTTTGGGGTTCACGTCTCCTGTCCTGTCAGACCAACGCAGCTGAGGTTGAGGGTACCAGCCCTCGGATTCACAGCTCACATTCACCACGTTGTCTTTCCACTCTGCGGACAGGAGGGGGGTGCTGCCTGCCTCTGTGAGGGGTTTGGAGAAGGGAGGTGAACGGTCAGTTCAAAAGATCAATCGTTGCGGGTTGTTTCAGGTGGATTCCAACCCTGGTGCTACTCACCCATCACATGGAGAGTCACAGAGGAGCTGTCATATGAATCTAAGCTGCTGGCATAACAAGTGTAATCCCCTGCGTCTTCAATCGTGACATTTTCCAGCTTCAGGCTCACATCACCTGCCTTCAGCCCGCCGGATGTCGTGTCCTTTAATCCGAACGAGACTCGGCCAGAATAAGAAGCCTCCTGGGATTCATGCTCGAACGCCTTTGCCTTGTACAGCATGACCGGGGTGTCAAAGTTTACGGTGCCCCGATACCAACGGACTTCCAGATCCTCTGCGCTTTGAGGGGGGCTGATCCAGCAGGGTAACGTGACGGCATGGCCGCGTTGCACCGAGCGAGGAGACTGAACCGAAACCGCAAAGGTCTCTGAGACTGTGACACAAAGGATGGAGGAGGTTAAACACCGGCTCCTGTTAGCTGCTGTAGTTAGTTAATACATTATTAATGCCATTAAGTTGCGTTATAAAAGTAGCAAAGGTTCTGGGCCACATCTCATTTATTTAGATAGAATGATTTATGAATCAACAGCAAACAAGATCAAAACAGTCCATGCAATCCTAACAAGCTTTAAAGTATAATTGGTATAAGCATCCGTCACAAATAGTTATTTAAGATTGACCTTGTTGTTAGAGTGTTTAACCATACAATAAGGAGAGACTTACCAGGAGCAGCGGCGCACCGCGAAACAAAGAGCAGGAAACACCAGAACAGAGAAACAGGCAGGTCTGTAGAACGAGAGATCAAATATTGACGACAAGGTGGATGAACCAGTTTTTCTGCCCTGCTAACACCAGGACTCCTGTTTACCTTGAATTAATAAACGGGTTTCGAAAGACCAGATTTTTGTTCAAATATATACCCACGGTCGATGAGCATGGCAAAAAAATAAGGCCCTACCCATCGTTTCCTTGAGATTCCACATTGATTTATCCACCGATCAGCTCGAGGTTTCCTCTTCCACGAAGACAATAAAAGCCCAGTTAGAATCCCAAAATACAAATCTGAGGGTAACGAAAGTGTCCCTGCAGAAACCTAAGGATAGACGTCGAAAAATTACCAGGGCCGTGAAAAGGAATTAACTATCAACGATCAACGAACCATACTTTCACTTTCACTTTTAGGGGCTTCCTGTGATCATGTGACTCATACCTATGTCTATGTCTGCACAGATCTAGACGTTCATGCTGTGTTTGTGTGTATAAAGGGCCCCTGCAGCCTATGACATTTCTTCCTGCAGTTAAAAATAAATGAATAAATAAATCAAACTGTTATCTGTTATTTGTAACATGTTAATATTTTCAGCAAATGCAATCTTAGAAATAAAAAGATTGAGTACAGCGTTTTATATTCCAAGGCCTGTATCGGTGTCGATACAGGCGAACGAAAGACAAATACTCATATAAAGTAAATTAAATTCACACAGATTTTCGCGGGACAGGAGTGTTTATGTATTTACGTCCTCACGTGAGAGTGTTGTGTGAAGGCAAATGTTGACACCGGAACAAACCCGGATGTTGCACCAGGACGGCTTCAACATAAGAGCAAGCAGACGATAACGACATAAAATTGAGTGAGAAATCACATTCTAAAACTTTTTCCTTGCCATGAATAGGCTTAACTATACCTCTACTTCCATTTAATGACACATAATTCAATTGAACGATTAAAAAAATGTCAAATTGAAAGAGTTTTCCCTTCGCAGACTTTACCTTTAAAGATTTAACCGGATGTTGGGTCTTAATAGAAAAATGCTTTGGCGGTGATCAAGTGTGGTGTCGCTTGTAAGACAGTCCAGCTTTGCCAGTTTTTGTGTCGCGTACCACCTCTTATTCACGCTAGGGTTGGCTGAAAACGACTGCGTTTACCATTTTGTGTTGTAAAACTCAACGGAAAAAACACGTTAGCATGTGAAATGTCATTTTTAAGTTGTTGACGTTAGCTGGTACTGTAGCTAGCTTCCCAGGGCTGTCCGTCAGAGTTGACAGTGTAGTTCACTGACCCCCGGCTACATGGCGACCTAGCAACAGGGCATCGGCTCAGCTTTCCCTTCGGCTACCTTTTTTAGTTAAAATGTCCCATCTTGATTCTGACGACACCACACCGTTGCTTCGGGATGATGCAAGCAGGTAGGGGCAAAGTTCAGTCGGTAGTTGACAAACACGGGGACATTTTCAGTGGGGGGGTTGAAAATGCTGTGTTTACAATTGTGGTGGTACAGGTTTTTCCTCCCTGTCTAGTGATTTTAACATTCGTGAAATATTGGTTTACTTGTTTTCCCGCCTTCCCTGCTAATCAAAGTATATCCTCAACTTTCATTCGCTGTTTGTTTGAGTAGTGATGGCTCTCAGGATGAGGACTACAGAAGCCGATGGAGGTCCATCCGAGTCATGTACTTCACTATGTTCCTCAGCAGTGTAGGTGAGGACACTCGTGACTTATGGCCCAGTCAGACACACACACACCTACACACACCTTCACAACAACAATACGTTGCTATGTGGCCCTTTATGTGCAATTGTTTGTTCTGCAAAACTACAATCAACACCAGGACTTGGTTGTTTTGGAAAGAAGTAATAACAGAGTAGTCCATCTGAAATCGGGCTACTGTTTGGCAGCTCCTGAGTGAAAGTAAACAAAAAGAAAGTCCAACTCATGGATATGGGCTCCTGACTGTTTCTGGCTGTTATGATAATGTTACAACAATTGTGTGGACATGGAGTGCAACAACAGATAAGCAGATATGAGATGGTTAGGACACAAACCCTGAAATCACTACAATTTTATTCTTATTTACAGGGGCCCTGAATCACTTCCAGTAGTTGTTTAATTTAAAACATTATGTGGAACTTTTAACAGTAGGTGTTTAATCTAAATTCTTTGTGTTCTCGCAGGTTTTACTATTGTGATCACCTCGCTATGGCCGTATTTACAAAAGGTACGCATCGCCGGCATTTACTGGTTATATCGATTCAAACAAAGTTCTGTTTACTTAAGCAGGGTAAAGACAGACTCAAAGAAGGTAAAAATGATATTTGGAAGGTCTGATTTAGGATTTGATATCCGGCCTTTATTAAAACTCAGCTTTTCTGAAACTTTCATTCGTTTGTGAATGCTGATCCAGGTTGAAGCTGCACAGTAATTCAGACTTGGTACCAGTTCTTAGTTGGATCATCCGTAAGACGTTGTCGTACTTGTTGCTTTTCGTACAGATCGACAGCAGTGCCGACGCCAGCTTCCTGGGATGGATGGTAGCAGCCTACAGCCTGGGGCAGATGGTGGCGTCGCCTATTTTTGGCCTGTGGTCAAATCACCGACCGCGCAGGGAGCCGCTTGTCTGCTCCATTTTCATCAACCTGTCCGCTAATATCTACTATGCCTATGCTCACCTGCCCAAGACCAATAACAAGTACCATTTACTCATGTCCAGAGTCTTCGTGGGCTTTGGAGCAGGTGAATTTCTTTGCTACATTTATCGAAAACCGACTGTTCAGAGTCGGTTCCTCTACATGCTGTCGTACCTGTCGCATGACAGGTAACGTCGCCGTGGTGAGGTCCTATGTTGCCGGGGCAACGTCACTGAAGGAGCGGACCGGCGCCATGGCAAACATGAGCGCCTGCCAGGCCCTGGGCTTCATCCTGGGACCGGGTGCGTTAGACCCCCAGGCAGTGGACGGAGGGTCTCTCTTTCTGAATTCTGAACATGTTCTCTGTCCAACCTCAGCTCTGCAGGCGTGTCTGTCGTTCGTCGGTGAGCAAGGCGTCATCCTAAACGTCATCGACCTGCAGCTCAACATGTACACCACGCCAGCCTTGCTAGCCGCAGCGTTTGGACTGGTCAACATCCTGTTGGTTCTGCTGGTGCTGAGGTGAGCGCACAAGCTCTGCCCGCCTCCTCGTCTCTCTGCGGGTTTCCACATCACAGCAAAGTCAGATTGCATCTCTACATGCTCATTTAAATATTTCTATGCATTCAGTCTCCCTGTTATTAGAATGCCCTGGACGTTGAAACCATTTTCATTGTTCGGCTGACCGCACCTTTTATGGACCTGTCCTTTACCCTCCTGTCATTTTCTTTACAAATAGAGAACATCATGTGGATGAAGATGGAAGGCACATTCGAGCTATCAACTACACCAACGAAGGTATGTAAAGACTCACAATTATTGTTTGGTTTGGGTCTTCACATGCAAAGTGAAACCACGGGGACGGGGATTCTCCCATCGTATCAAAGTCCAGGAGGAATGTGGAGAGAGACTGCTGCAGGAGTCGGAAGAGATTTAAGATTCTGCAGAAAAATGGGACAATTTGGCACATTTGTTGAGTACTTTCTGTCCCGGCTAACCCTGCTCTCCCCTTTGGTGCAGACAGAGTGGATGTTATCGAGGACACTGGTGAAAGCATCGACCAGCTGGCTGTGCTGACGTCCAACATCTTGTTCTTCATCGTCATGTTCATCTTCGCTGTGTTTGAGACGTAGGTATTTCTTTTTAACACGACTGCGGACAAATTAAAAACCAATCCAGCACCCGTCCTGCCTCTCGTCTCTGTAAATGCTGTCTGAATTTCCTATTGAATGTCTTTCACTCAGAATTGCCACTCCCTTGTCAATGGACATGTTCGCCTGGACGAGGAAAGAGGCCGTGCTCTACAACGGCATCATCATGTGCGGCATCGGGTTTGAATCCATCCTGGTGTTCGTGGTGGTGAAAGCAGCCGCTCAAAGGTAGCACACGTCATGGTTTCAGGGATGTAAATGTATCCTTCAGCTTGTCTGAATTTGGTTGATCAAAAAGGCCGTTGCTCCCTCAGGTTCGGGGATCGTCCGGTGTTGCTTGCAGGCTTTCTGATTGTGTTTTGTGGCTTCATCATTCTGCTTCCATGGGGGAATCATTACCCCAAAATCCAGTGGGCAGGTATTGACTTATTTGCACAGACGGGTCAGATCCTCTTTGATTAAGGGTTGCAGCCTTAATAACAATGTCCCAAAAATCGCATTATTTTCTTCCCAACGTGCAGATCTGAAGAACAACTCGCTGGTCAGTCAGATGTCTGCAGCCACAGTCGCCACCAACGGTACGTTGGAGCCCACGGGCTGTCCTTATGAACAGACCTGGTGTCAGTACACCCCCGCCATTCACCTGGGACAGTACATCTCATCCGACATCCTTATTGGGGTGGGATACCCAGCCTGCAATGTGATGTCCTACACGCTGTATTCCAAAATCCTGGGCCCTAAACCTCAGGTTGGTGTATTTTTACTCAGCGCTTGTTGATCTGTGGGCTGTTTTGAAAGCTTTTGGACGTGCCTGTACCTTTCTCAGCTCATCGTCAGAGGCTCTTATCACCGCTCTTCCTCCGTTTCTTTCCTCAGGGGGTGTACATGGGCTGGTTGACCGCCTCAGGAAGCGGAGCACGAACACTGGGCCCTGTCTTTGTTTCCCACATCTACACCCTGCTGGGACCTCGCTGGGCGTTCAGTCTCATCTGTAGCATGGTGATCGGAGCTGTGATCCTCCTCAGCTCGACCTACCAACGCCTCATCGCCTTCTCTGTTCGCCATGGGAGGATTGTAGAATAACCACTAATGATAACTGATGGTAGAATTGGCCAATCTACTGGCTAAGATGACGGCCTTCTTTTGCTGTTTTTTCTGTCTTTAAATGTTACTGATTACCCTTTAAAAGTTTGTATCTCAGGGTTTAACCTCAAAACTCAATAGTAAAGAGATATTCCTTCTGACCCCGATTAGATCATCAGAGAAAGCCAAAGCTCCACCAAGTGTTTTGATAAGCCTGTGACCCATGTTAATGTAAAAAATTAACATGTGCTTTTCATGGTTTGATTCTTCAATACTGTGTCTATTTCAGATAATAGGAACAGTTTCAGTTAAACATTCCCTGTGTTATGAAGGAAATATACTGCAGATGGGTTTCCCTTTTTCTAATAATGTGGTACCTGTGGTTGTGTAAAACTATGGGGCATTAAGATCCTTAAATTATTTGGAAAGTGACTTCTGGGGTATGTACAGATTTAATTAACTAAATGATGCATTAAATTGTAAGCTGTGTTCATTACACCTGCATATTGTTTGATTTAAGAAAACAAGTAATCCGGTGATGGAACCGTTAGGGAAAATGGAGAATGAATGCTGCAGGGTTGCTAGAATGATTTCTGTGAAGATGAGCTAGCAGAATCTTTTATGTTTAAAAATAGGCTGAAAATCCACTCCGTAACCTCATGCAATTCTCTAGATAGACAAATAAATAATACTTTGTCACGACGTGGGAAGTACCTCTACAATACACCTCTACAAAAATACATTTGGAATTAAATTTGGGTATCTCGTTGTTGTTTGAAATTACCCGCAGAGGGCAACAATGAGTAAAAATTCCCTAAGCATGGCGTATATGCGCATGCGTGTGCCAAACAGCAAGGGCCACCCACCGGTTCATGCGCACGTGACGCAGAGCTGACGGTAGTAGAGAGCGCGCGGAAACCGTGAAAGCAGCTAGTGGACAGCTGCTAAAATCAGTATTAGTAATGCAGCATGTGGCGTTATTAAGTTAAACCACACTGCATACCACGTCTGTTATGGGCGTTTATTAGTAAAAATGGAGGTAGCTAAAGACCAAACAGGTAAGAAACTTTTTAAGAAGTTCGTATGCACTCTGGCTAACTAGCTTGCTCGTTCTATTTATATCGCCGGATAAAAATCAGTTGCCTCTTAACCCCATAACACGCCAGTGGGGTTTACATTGTACATTCACGTTCTTATTTTTGCTTCGTCACCGGTATCCGTATGGTCGTCAGTAAATGTTTGCTGGTGTTACAGTTAAAGAACGTAAAAGTTTGCAGCTAACACGAGCGCTGCACAGCAGGGAAGTCTCAAACTATGCAGGAAATGTTATGCAAAACCCCCATAAAAGCTCGTACTGATATTATTCCACTAATCTCCGGACACACCTGTGGTCATTATCCTGCTTTTAGACGTGTCCCGAGCACAGCTGTTTCTAATAAAAATGAAAACATAACTGAGCAGGGCCGCGCCTGACACTGATTAAACTTGTTTTATTACAACAAACATCAACAAATGTTTGGCAAATTGAGACTCTTGGCAATTTTCTATTGGAATATGTAGCAGTTAGTTTATTAAGGCTGCACACTGTGCACAAATAAGCCTTCTGGCAGTGTCATTAAGGGGGAGGGGAAACTATCTTTTAGGCCGTGGGACAAGCACGGGTTTATTAAGAAGAACTTCTCTCCATTTATGGAGTTCTGGTTCTGTGTGTTTACGTCTAACCAGCATGTAATTAGGACCGTAGTGCATACATATTAGGCTGAGGGATCTTTAAATCTTTTAATTTGTGGGATTGTTGTGACATTTCCAAACACTTTATACTGGTTTAAGAGGAAGTTTCATGTTTGTTTTTTAAGCCTTTTTAATGGGTTTCCAGTGTTTGTGTTTCTCACACTTCCAAATCTTTTCTAAAAAGGCTTTACGTGTCCCCCTGCTCATTTAATAAAAAAATAAAAACGTCTCTACAGATGTATTGATATTTGAAATGCCACAGTATTTGTTTTTATTGCAGAGAAACAGACAACGTGCTGGTCAGATTGACTTGTCCTCTTATGCTGGGACAGTTTAACCTAACCTAAACTTTATTGCCTTTTACCACCTTCGAGTTCGGTTGACATTAACCTGCATTTGTTGCTTTATATTTGTCCACTTCCTGTGCTTTTTATCGAAAAGCTACTTCCTGTGTCCAACATAACTTAAGTCTGCAATATTGTCTGCTGATGTAGACAAAGTGAGTCAACCTTTTCAGGGTAAAGGAAAGTGAAAGGAAAAGATTAACTGTTTTGGTCAGAGTCTCTCAGCAGCTGAGGGACAGAGTCTCAGACAGCCTGGGGGACACGCCAGAAATCTTTATCAGGCTCTCCTTGAGCTGGAATTTAGGTGGACTGTGGAATATTTTCAAGGCTGAAGCTGGCAAGCTGATCTGATACTTCTGAGCAGCGATTGGTACTGCTATTCACAAGATTCTCTCTCCTGTTTAGCAAAGAGTTGCGGGAATGTTTGAAAGCCATCCCTACTGGCAAAGGATAATTAGATGTGGCCTACTTGGTAAGAAAACACATTAACACACACACAACAGCAACACCCTTATTTGTTTTGTTGGGTGTAAAATGTTGGTGATTGTGGGTCAGGTGGCGATAACGGCTTCTGTGGATGTTCAGGTTATGATAGAGGAACAGGAGGGAAGCATACGAGTTCATCCGGGGTTGATTATCAGCCTCCTCTGCATGACGACACATCGGCCTGTGACTCTTCCTGCTCACCCTCAGAAAAGGTGCCGTTAAGGGAAAGATCCTAAGTTTTCCACTGTAAAAAGGAGCAATGCAGGTTTCTGACTTCTGTTTGTTGTAGGATACTGAAAGAAAAGCCAGATTATTACAAGAAGCTAAAAAAAACAAAGAAAAGGCTGAAAAGAAGCAGTTAAAGAAACAGGTAACCATCTCAGTCTTTGAAAGGAGCTCTGTAGGAAAAAGTGCTTGTGATTATAAAGTGTCATCTTGTTTCTTCCTCCGAACAGAATCGGAAGGAAAGGAAAGAAATGGAGAAGAAAAAACAAAACCCTGAAACAAATAACGAGGTGATATTTGTAATAACTAAGAGAGTACTGATTTTCCAACTAGATGCGAAAGTTCTCAAACAAGTTTGTGTTTTTTGTTCTACAGGAGAAAGATGATGTACCGCCAGCCAAAACGGAGGAGCCTGTTAGTTATGAAAGAAAAGATGGTATCGGTTCCAGAGAGAAAGGGTTGGCTGCTAAAGGTCCAGCCAACAATGTCAGTGACACAGAGTCCACCGACAAGGATGAAGGCTCCAGTGATTCAGAGGTACCACGTAAAAGACGTCTCTCCTAAATAACTGCACTGTTCATGAGAACCTGAGCGAGGTGGTGGTATGGAGGAGGTATTCAGCTGGCCCCCTTCAGCTGAATCCGCTGTGAGAAGGTGGGAAATAATGTGTTGGTCTGGGCATTTTTCTCAAGGAACTGGACATGACGAGTACTTTTGTGAGCAAAGCTGCTCTTATAGCGAAGCGTCAACTAGAACACAAGACTGGAGCTGAGAGGAAGGAGAAGAAGGTCCCAAACAAAGAAGAGCATAAAAGTGTTCCTAACAAAAAGAATGAAGGACGGGAGCCTCAGAAGAAGGTGAGACGTCCTGTGCACTGGTGGGTTTTTCAGGCAGTGAAAAGGTTTTGTATTCAATTCCTCTAATTAGCTTTTTTTTTTTGCGATTTAAACAGGATTCCATGGCACCCAGCTTTGAAGATAATATTAAAATAAGTACAGAGCTTGCGAGTAAGTTTGCCCTGTGTGCACCCACCCCGTCAGCTCATTTGTGTTTAGATCATGTCATTAATAAGGTTCTAATTGGATCTTTTGCTCTCTCTTTTTCTAGATATTGGAAATAATTTTGCCAGTGGTGGCGACTATTTTATGGCTGTGAAGTATTTTACTGATGCAATTAAATACAACCCTAAAGAATTTAAGTAAGTTTAAACGTTTTCCTGATGTTGCTGACTCGGCGGCTGCCTGTGATGTGACGTCCAAACTGTGTTTCTGTCTCAGGCTGTTCGGCAATCGTTCCTTTTGTTTCGAAAAGTTGCAAGAATACGACAAAGCTTTGACCGACGCTGAGCTGTCCCTGGGCATTCGGCCCGGATGGGTTAAAGGATTGTTTAGGAAGGGCCGAGCTCTGGCAGGCCTGAAGGTAAACGCCTCGCACTGCGGATTCGTTGCACCTTTCTTTAACCTCCTGTGATATGAAATCAAAGCATGGAGCTGTTTTTCAGCTGTGGTCAACGGTGACGTGTCCCCTGTCAGAGCAGTTTGTTTACTTGTTGTGCTGTTCAGACTTTGCTCCCAGCATTTCCCCACAGCCTGCAGCAGTTTCAGTGACGCATTAAGAGGTTCACGGACACAGTCTCCAGTTTTTTTATTTTCACAAAACATTTATTTTATTAAAATGTATTTTAAGAATAAAAAAAAAAGATTAACACACAGAGTCTGATACAGTCAGATACGTTTTTATTAACCTTTTCAGAACCACAATCAGTATGAATTCGATCCAATCCTGTTTTTATAGGAATGACCAGTTTGAGAGAACCGGCATTCTTTATATTGTTTGTCAGATGTTTATATAATGATGTTGTACGCTCAGTTTATATGGTGGCCTTGAAGGGTCAAGCCACTTTCAAACAGCCATGATTTTAAAAATAAATCCAGGAACAGACCAAATGACCAGAGAAGTCTTTGGAGCTGGTGTTCGCCTCTAATGGATGCTGTTCTGTTTCAGATGTATGAAGAAGCTGCCCAGGCCTTCAGGGAAGTCCTCAAACTAGAGAGTTCATATGCAGAAGCTGCTCAGGAGCTCATGCGGGTACAGATATTGGAGCTAATGGTGTGTAAAGGGGCGTTCCTGCTAATCTGCACTCATTAGGGGGTGGGGCATAAATGCCGCATAGTTCTAAATCTGTAATTCTGTGTTTCTCTTCAGGAATATGGTTTCACACGAGAGCAAAGCTCAAACGCTTTAATTATACACGGGACGGTAACAAAGGCCTTAGAGGTGCTCACTAATTTACAGCAACCAGGTGAGGCTGGCTGCAGAGGCCCTGTCCTCTGCCGGGGAGCTCCTCAGTGGAGCAGCAGCTCAACAGCCGGCCTTTGTGTTTCAGGGGCTCTTTCGAATGGGATGCTGCCGCCTGCCATAGTGGCAAATACCACCGGAATCTCTCCCATCCTCTCAGCCAGTATAAACCCTGCTCAGTCCATAGAAACACCTCCGATCAAACCTTTAGGCTCCGTCCAGAATATAGCCAATGGGCAGAGCCACCCGAAGCCTTTTGATATCCAGCATGTGAAGATGAACGGCAGCGATAACCAACCCTCACTGTGAGTCTGTCTTCAGAAAGTGAAGATTAAAAAGAAGAAAAAATCCCATGGTTGAATATAATAACACAGAGCTTTCTGCTTGTGTGTGTAAACGTAAACTTGATTTGGTTAGAGAAACATTATGCCAATTGACTTTTCTTATGAATAAAATCCTCAGGGTTTTCCCTCTTAACAGGGAGCTGTTTCCGGTTTGGGTGGGAAATTTAAATTACCCGGTGACTGAAGCCACAATCTTCAACCTGTTTAACAGGTAAGAAAGTTTGTTTACCAATCGGGTTCTTCTTCTTATTCTGTTTTCATCCCCACAAGTCGAAGGAGCGGTGTGCTGAACGTGTGTGTGTCCTCTGTCAGGGTGGGGCCGGTCCACAGTGTGAAGCTTCTGCAGTCCAGACGCTGTGCCTTTGTCAACTTTACAATAAAACACAACTGTGACAAAGCCATCAGGCGCTTTCACGTGAGTCAGATGCGAACCTGTAGCCTGTTGTGTTGTATGTGTTGTATCGTGTTAGTTGTGTTTTTGTGAGTCAGCCCTTTTCTTTTTTGTTGGATCACCTGTTAGCAGCCTTTTGCTGCCTGAAGCTGGCCTAAAACAGCTGCTGCTGCACAACAGCTTCCTTTTCACACATTACTCAGTCTGTTAGCGTGATGGCCGTCACACGCAGGTCCCTTTTCCTTCAGCGTTTTCCCCCACAATGCACTGCAATGTTTGAATTAAGACATTCATCATCTGTTTGAAGTGGGTTCTTCCACCTTTTCTCTATATAACAGCATATTCTGAGAGGTGACGTTATAAAAGTATTTAGAAGAAATGAGATGCTAATTTATAAAATCCTGTTGCCACGGGTAACATCTGCTACCAGTGACCTTCAGAGGTCACATAAGTAGTGACGCTCCACCTGTGTGGCATCCTCACAAACGCTTCATCAAACCACGGCGCTCTGGGAAACAGAGCTGTGAGAAGCACCAATCAGAGCGGAGGACTTATCTGACTTCTCTTTCAGTAACCCCTTTTGTTCACCGGTCACAGGGTTGTGACCTGAATGGCAACAACATTGCTGTGCGGTACCCTGACAGGATTCCTCCAGGCATAGGCATCTCCCGGTCAGCCCTCAGAGCGGAGGACCTGCAGGATGAAAATCTGAGGTGCGTCTGACTTGGAGAAGTTTGTCCTCCCGTTAGTGGGAAAATGGAAGGATCAACTCTTTTGTCTGTTGGTTTATTAAGATCAGAGTGATTTTAGAAATGTGGCACATATACAAATGATTATACATTTAGTGTCAAAGGGTTCCTGATGGCAGAGTTGGATTATGTGTGTACTGCAGGCACCATGTGGATGGGAGGACTGCAGATGGAAGCCAGAGGCCTTTTCGTCCTTACAAACCAGTGCCGGCTCACAGAGGAAACCACTGACTGGAGACGAGATGCCTTCAAGCTGCTTTGGTATTGTTGTCTTGGTGTGTTCCAAACAAACAAAAAAAAAAAGAACGGAATAATTTGGTGTTGAATTCAAACTAATCAGTGGTGTCTTACTGAAATCTAAAAGTTAGTCTACAAACCTATAATCATTGTTTTATTTTTACCAAAGCACTCATTTGAACCAGGATTCTAAGTGTTAACAAAAAGGTTTCTAAAACTTGATAATGGATGAGTCTCCTCTTAATAAAGTATTTTTTAAAGTCAGTATACAGGAGATGTGTAAGCCAAGTATGTGTTCAGTTTATCTGTTGACTATTCAGTCACTGTGCTGGAACTTCCGGCATTTCCTCAGCTGTGACAAATGTAACTGTGGAAGTTCAGTGTTTTTATGGCTTTCATCTTCCAAAAGACATGTTAAGATTACAGAAATTAGTTACTTTCCCTTTTTTTATTTCCTCTGTCTAATTGTAACATCATAAAGTCATAATTACATCACTTGAATGCCCACTATGGTCTTTATTCAGTTTGTTCAGAAGTGTTCGACTGAAGTCTATAGTTAATTTTCACTTTGTTGAATGATTCTTCACAGAATACAATTTAAATCACAGACTTTACCCAGTTCATTTCTCATCTTTGTAAATTCCACTTTGCTCATCAGTGGATGGTTTTCAGGCGGTCTGTCTTCATCCAGATGGCCTCATTTATAGTGCATTACTTGATCTTAAAGATTAGTTTTTTTAAATTCTGCTAGGATCAGATTGTTAAACTATGTGGAGGACTGAAGTGAGCTGTGATTACACCAGATAAACCTTTCATTCACATATATCTCCGTTCCATTTGGGAAAGATACAGTGTCCAGACTAGTGGGGTGAAGGTCTGGTCTTTCTTTGTTTAACTTTTATAAAATTACACTATTTTATATTAAAATGTAAAACAAACAGTCAAATCTGGAAGTTCTGCCATGTGTCAGTCAGAAGCCAGTAGGTGGCAGCATAAGCATACAATTGGCTTTGGGTTTTGGAAATCTCTCCTGGATGGAGGACCAGTCCTGTTCCAGCACAGGTTTTCTGGAATGTAATTGGACTGGGGGAGCATGGCGGAGCCACATGTGGCGGTTTGTGTTCACACAGGTCACATCTGTTCATTTGACCGAAAATATTCAGGCTTTATGCAGCAGTGTGTTTAAGTCCAGACCACCTGTCCTCAGACCTGGGGCTCCTGTGGAGTGATGGAACTCGCTCCTCCCTCTGTGCCCCCCCTGCTGACTCTATCTGTTGAGGGAAGTCCAGGGGCATCTTGTAAAAATTGGCTTCAGTCCTTTCTGAGACACCATTCTGTTTTAACACCCACTTTGAGTTTAATTAGAGCCAGAGAGCGCGTAATATGCGCCCAGCTGTGACTGTGTAGCAGCAGCTCAGATAAAATCTGTTCTTAACCCCGGCAATTAAACACACTCCCCAGGCCACTTCTGTTCAGACCGCCTGCAGCCCGGGAAAGCTGTGCTAATGCTCCGTCCTCTGCCAGCTGAGGCGTCTCTCCTCTTTAACAGCAAACCGGGGCGACTGAGCCACAAGGTGACGGCGTTGGTAGAAAGCAGGTTTAAGTCACTTCTTGGTTTTTCCTCCATTTGTTATGTCTAATTGCCCACCCCCATCCCCATCCCCTGAAACCTTTCCTGTTTTTGCCTTCAATTTACAAAATGAAAGCTCAGTGGAGTGTTTGCTAAATGATGTAAACGGCATTGATCCACATTACCTTTTGACTAATGAAAACTCCTTCCACCTGGCTCGCGTTACCGCTTAATCTGAAGTGTGTTTCCAGGGAAAGTGCTCCTCTGTCGGCTGGGCCTCGGTTCAGAGGTCCAAACGTTATTAGTTGAGAGGAAGCGAAGCACAAACGGGTCCAAATGTCACTTCACCTGCGTGATTATTGTCAGTCTAATCCTTCATTCAGTTCAGTCTTCCATGACTGATGTGGCTCAGGTGGCCAGCGTGTTGGAGCATCTCTGGACCAGGCCCACGTTATCCACGGTAAGCTGGCTGATGTGGCGGTAAAGTAAATAATGCTACATGCGTGTGGGGTAAATACAGGCTGAGCGGAGAAGATGTAGAACGCTACCAGTAACCATGAGTCAGACAGCTTTGATAACAGGATAATAAGACTACAACACATCTGCTCCTGCTTCCCTTTAGGGAATTTTGTCATTTTGTTGTTTTTAAATAATATTTTATCATCCGCATATTTGTATCTGCTATCTTTAAGCCAGTTTTATTCCACAAGCCTGTTAATAGTTTAATAATTAACCAATTTTATTCCACAGGCTTGTTAATAATTTAATAATTAACATCACCTCCAGAAGAAATAGCTGCTGTTTCTCTTAAATTATAGATTTTCTCCCTCTGAGCACTGGCTGAAATGCCATGTCCACAGAGCAGGCACGTAACAAGCTAATGCCATTAAAAGCACATCAACTCAGCGCATCAAATTAGGCTGTCAATTACCACGACCCAGGGCCCAAATGAGAGAATCCCCACACTCAGAGGGGGCTCACTCCTTGCCTATGTAGCACAAAAATGTTGGATACGACACCAAACAGTTTATTTAATAGCTGAACATTGTGAAACACGTTGGCGGTGCAGCGTTTCCAATAGAGGAAAACCAAGAGGAGACGGCATTTCTGAGACCTTCTGTAAAGCTGTTTTTATGATAGAGGACAAGGATGACCTCGTTTTATATCCATTCCCACCTACTGACCATGAGCTCCTCGGCCGGGTCTCCTTTGGTCAAATCAGATGTTTAGATTTGTTTGTGGATCCTCAATGGTTAAATTATGACTTGTGTGATTTATGTTTTCCTTTTTCTTTTTGTTGCTTTGGGCTTTTGGGCTAAAACTAACAATCCAGACCTTACATTTAAAAAGAAAGCTCTAAAACCAGGATACGGTTAGAGGAACACCAATGATCCCTTTAAAGAACACAGAGCAGAGTGGGGAGAAGAATCAGGACTCTTACCAAATGGCTGTTGAGGCCTCCGTGGGCCGATAGAGGATGGAAAACTGGACTCTCTAACAGACCTGCAGAAGCATGGCGCCTGCCATCCTCCAGCAAACAGGTTTTCAGACTGTACGCTGGGTCTCTGCCTCCGAGAGGGTCACACTTCACCCACCACGGGGGGGTCTGACTCGAAAGAGTTAACAAGCAGGCAGATGAACATCGATGGCTTCTTTTACCTTCCTGCAAAGTGAAGGAAAACCCATGAGACAACATATTAGAGTGACGCACAACTAGTGTTTTGGCAGTTGGGATTTCCTTAATAGTTGATCTGGAACTTTAAATCAATTCATTCCAGAAATTGATTAATTTCAAATAAAAAAAAACTGAATTGAAAAATTAAAGTAAAACTCAAATTAACTAAAAATCAAGTTGGGATAAGAAGCTGCAGAACAGCCAGTTAACCAAGTTTTCTCTCACTAATTCGTCCGCTCTGTGCTGTGAACGGACAGAAGGAAAAAAAGAATAGTTACCTTGCTGTGGTGAAATATTCCATTAGCTCTTCTCCTAAAAACTGAAATCCACCAAAGTTCCACACAAGATGTTTAATCTCAAACAGAAGCACAGCTATCACAGATGAAACACGGAACCGGGCTTTGTGTTGTGCTTACTTCCCTTCCTCCCGGTACAGCGGATGTCTGACTGGGCAGCCATTCACAGCTGAAGGCACCTGAGTTTGAGCCGCTGCCAGACAGTCTCTGAGAACAGCAGCTCGCGTAGAAAAAGAACGCCGTGTCCTGTCACTCTGACAAAGCCGTGGAAATCCTTTTTGTGGGTGTTCCTGATTCCGGGGGGCGGCTGGGACTAGGTGGGCAGACGCTGGCGGGGGAGTCGTGGCCCCCATCAGCCTGTCGCCGTGGGAACGCCGACAGCTCAGGCTGGAAGCTCTGCGTCTTTAAAAGCGGTCCCTTCCACTTTCCGTCCACTTTCCAGGTCAGCTCCACAGGCAGATGTTGCTCATGAGCTGGCAGGAGGAGCTGCTCTCGGCAGGGGAGAGGTAGAGCTTGCCGCTGGGGCAGACGCACACCTCGTAGACGGCCTGGCCCCGGGAGGCCTGGGCGGGGGCTGCCGAGTAGGTGCCGAGGGGGAGGCTTCCGAGCTGAATGCTGTCTGCATCCAGCAGTATCTGGAGTGGTGGGGAACATCACAGAGATGGAGAGCTGGAGGTCATTCGTGTTTCAGACCAGCCCTGCGGCGAGGTCTCAGCAGCTGGTGGACGATATGAGGTAACGAGTATTAAAAAAAAAGCTTAGTGGACTGAGGTCCAGGTTATGCTTTCCCCTGTCCCCCTTAAAAAACTGTACACAGTTTCATTATTCAGGTAGGGTCATGTGCGGAGTGGCAGTCGACCCAAATAAACAAACCCATTTCTGTCTACATCACTAGGAAAGCAGGCAGTTTACTGAGAAATGAAAATACGGCGGGAAAGAAAAAAAAAAAAATCGCAATTCTCCGATGCTTGAAAGTTAACATTTGGGCCCGCTGATGGTTTTTCATGGAAAATGGAATAAACGGCGTCTTTGCGACAGGCTGAGAGGAACAACGTTTTCTAAAGCTACTTAACAGTGTCGGGGAAGAAACACAGGTTCATCCCCCTGAGTTAGCAGCCTCTGTTCTTCAAACGAAATAACAAAATCCACTAAAAGCTGTCGTTTGAGGCGTCTAAAAAGCAGCCAGAGAGCGCCGAAAACTTTGAAAGACGCTCTGAAATGCAGGGTGATGTCTCAAGGACTTCTTTAAATGATTTCAAAGAGGAAAAAAAGTCTTTGTGGAAGTACAAAATAAAGAAAAAGGGGGTGACTAAAGACTTGTGCACGGCCCTCTGCACCTGAGAGGTAAATGCAACTTTATTTGGTCACCTGGAGTGGTGAAGCTCCTCACCTCTCCCTCTGTGGACTCCATCTGGAGGTCCTTCCTGCTGCTGACCCTCAGCGTCCCCTTGGCGGCGCTCAGCTCCACCCCCCGGGGAGCCTCCATGGTCAGGGTTCGCGTCGGAGACTCCAGCCTGACGGGACAGGAGAAAACTGGGACTTTAGGGGGTGAACTCAATCGCTTTCTGGTGATGTAGCTGCTGAGCATTAATGACTCATCCCAGCCGGCAAAAAAAAGGGAGTCAGACAGGCCCATTTCAGGATAAAAGAGGAGGCTTATTGATACTTCTCTCTGACTCCGACTGGGGGAGTGTGATTTCCCTCCTATGGTTTCCCCACCTGAGCTGAATTAAAGCAGCTTCTCTCGCTTTTCCCAATCAAAGGCCATCCTTAACACTTCATCTACAGCTCATTCTGACCTTCAGCATCACCGAGGCCAACGCGGGTTTGCGTTTTCCCTCCCGCTGACTTTTTGTTTACAATCGCAGAGATAAGTGTGAGAGCCAATCAACGCGGAATTCGTTTTCATGACTCAGAACCGTCTCAAATGGATTTTATCCCCCACATCGCCCCCAAATCTGTTTCCAATGAATTTTAAATGGAAGACTTAAAGGAGCTGCCTTGAAATCATTTAAATTCCCACACCCTCAGAGGGGTGGGGGCACATTTAGGATTAAGGACACGAGGAATAAAGGACGGGAAAGAAGACAGGCAAATGAATTTCATTTGCATTTGCGAGGCTTGCCAGTAGACGCGGTTTGAGGAGAATCTGGGAAACATGTGCCACACACGTGCCGGCCTAAATAAATCACAGATAGACGGTCGCTACCGTGAGTCATTTTCTATCTGTGTTATCTTTAAGCAGCGAGCAGCGACGCCCACAAACTGATGAGCACGACTAAGTCTCCTGGAAAGGATTTAACTTTTTCTCCTGTTTCAAATGCAAAAAACTACATTCGAAAAATAATTAACTTTGTAATTAAGCAGGGAAACACATTCTACCTTCTGCGGCAACGCTTTCTTTCCCCTCCGACACGCCTGCCTTTCATTAGCGAGCCACAGGACTGTTTGAGGGAGTCACATGCTTTAATAATTTCTCAAGAGTCCACCGATGATCCATGGCTTGGACAGAGGAGTCATTAAAAGACTCATTTACAACACTCCCGCACTGAGCTCTGCTGTAAGAAATGAGGGATATGCAACGTGTGTGTTATATTTTCACTCCATTCAAAGCAGTTCAATCATCTCCCACTGCCTGCACACACACTAACACACACACACACGCGGGCCAAAGCTGCCAGAAGACGAAGTGCTCAATTTCCAAGAGTGCTTGTTTCAGACACAGTCCGGAACAAAGCATTAAATGTATTAAATAAATAAATAAGAAAGTCTTTGGTTTTTATAACCAGCTCCGACTTCTTTCATTATCACGTGTGTTCATAGTCTGCGAGGCTCCAGCAGCTCCACATTTCACATTAATGCTGATCAGTTGAACCAGTTAGCATTAATGAGCTTTCATTTAAAATACATCAATGACTGATTTGGACTTACATCATTTTAATCCCAGTATCCCAGCGAAGGGAAGGAGCGGCCCTGACCGCATGTGTGGGTTCTACCAGGTTAAGATGTTTATTTCATTTACATCTGTAGAAAAGTGTCAGCCTGCTTCAGCAGATCTGGAAATATTGTGTCGTTTTATCCTCTCGATTTTGGCTTTCTACTGATTGCTTTTTCCCTTTTTTTCCCTTTCTTTTTGTTTTGGTTAGATCACACCCACGGCAGCGGGAGACTGGCCTTCCCAAAACCAAAGAAATCACCGGAAATGACCGGATTAAGACTCCAAATCCACAGATATGGGGGCTTTTTCTGGGACCTGAAGGCGAGATGTCTTAGATGCAGAATATGAACAAAAAGTTGGAAAAAATAAAGGAGGAACTTTGTCTTTCTGACAGTAATGGGAGGTATGGAATGGGTGAGTTTGGACCCCTATAGAGATGGTTAATTCTACCAAAACATGGCATCTGTACAGTGTCTGATTATATATTTCCTGGTTCCTTAAAAACAAAAAAACTCTAAGAAGCTTGTTGGACTCTTAAAATATTTGTTCGTTACATGTACCCTTCTATTTAAACTTCCTGAAATACTACACCTTTAATGTGTTCTGTTTGTCTTCCTCTCCCTGATAAAAGAGACAGAAAAATTCAGATTAATACATATTTCTGATAATTGAAGCACAGAAACTCTTTGGGATTTGTTCAATGAGGTAAGCAGATAGCCTTAATTTTCCATTTGGAGCCTTTAGAGAAGATGACAAATCTATTTTGTTTTAAATGTTACAATGCCTTATAACGCTCAGATCATTAGTTTGACTGATGAGGCCGTCGGTTTCCTAAAAACGGGATTCATCTCTAACGTTCCAGGGAGCTCGTTTCACCCACAATATTCAGGGGACTCCTGGCTCCATTCACAAAAGTCTGATATGTAAAGCTCTCATAAGAGATTACTTATGGCGCATTTCAAGTCCGAAAAGGCTTTTTATGACAGGCTCTCCCATTATCTGAGAAACCTGACCAACCTACATTGCAGCTGACCTTTACATCCCCAAAAAGGGCACTGTACAGCGGGACTGAGGAGGGGAAAGCTGCACGGAGAAAAAGGTGCTGACGACTGAGGCTGGAAGTCGCTTTAAATACTGCACATCTACTCTGTTTGCTCAGAAGATTACAAAGACGGAAGTAAAGTTTATCTTAAATGTCATTTCTGTAGCGCTCCACTGGCCCGTCCACCCGACCACAGCCTCAGAGGACCCTGCAGCCGGGGGCTGATAAAGTTTTAGGAAAAACAAAACAACAAACCTTCTGTTCAATGTCACCGGAATGAAAAGTGTCATATCTCTTACAAAAGAGATTGGTCCGAATTGTCTAGTTAACAATCATGGCGGCGAGCTTTCATACAGTCCTCTCTGTGTGGTGAGGCACGGGTTGTTACTCTTTTTAACTGCGTTTTGACATATTGATTAAAGACGTATCATTAAAAGACTGTGACCGTGATAAAAATCTAATCCAAAACTGGGACACAATGAGCTTCTGGTTTGAAGAGCAACATCCAGACGACGGCTTCAACTTCATTATCCTTCAAGTATATTTTCTGCTTTCAGGCAGCTGAAAAGTGGTATTCACAAAGACCCGGGCACGCTTAAGACATATACAGGCTCATAAAGCACACTAAAAGGAACAAGGTGGTAAAAGGAATGATACAGATTTTATCATTTGAGCCGATCACCAACAGCCAATGTCACCATAAAGCCCATAAATTCCCCATCAAAGACATCATTAGCTGACTTCTCAAGCGAATTTAAGAGCGAATTAAGGCATTTTCTGACTCCTTTTCTTACTTCCCATAGAGGAGAAACTTAGACTCTCCCCAAAGAAGAAGGCACCCACACTATAAAACCACTTCAACCATTTTAAGAGCTCTTTGACAGTTTCATCCCAACAATCTTAATACTGACTCTAAATGTCGGAGACAGAGATCCATGAATCTTATTGAACAGTTACAGCCAGGGGAACCTCTGAGGGAGTCACATGCTTTAATAACACAGAAACACAAAAAAAGAGGCTTTTGTAGCAGATTCTATGACAATATGTACAGAACTTAAAAACATAAATTCATTTGCTGCTAAAAACGCACCAAAAAATCTATTCTTTATACATAATTAAACATTCAACAAGCAAAACCCCGTCGCCACCTCGGAAATCTAAATACTTCCTCAGGCTGATCGAGTAATGCAGCAGAGTGATGAACACAGAGGTTTTGTACCGGAGCCTCCCAGAAGGCACAGAAATTGATACTCTTCATGGAGGATATGGATGGCGTCCAGAGCTACTTTATTTCCCAGTTTGATATATCTCCTTGAGCAACTGTCAAATAAGACATTTCCCACTGAATGGCCCAATAACTTAGGGCAGACATTGAAGAGGTGTCGCACCTCAACTGAGCTGACAGTCCCCGGAGCCAAACAGATGGACACGTCTGGGAGTCTGAAGCAACAATTTGCTCTCTTATCGAAAAGTAATGGTCTTTTTTTTGTGCTTTTTTGGGCCTGCATTTAAACTACCCCAGCTAAGGAAGACACAAGTGATCTCTGCCGCAGGTGATACGACCAGAAAAACGCACTCCGCTTTTAAACTTTGTGACTTCAAGCATCGGTATTTATCCTCACGCCACAAGTTTGTCTTTTGGAGACTTTTTCTGACGCATTGATTGGATGTGCGTGCGTTATCTACCAGAGATGTGAACGCACCGTCTTACCGGGCGTGTGTGGAACACATGACAGAAATATCACCGGCATACCCAACTGCAAATCAGCTGTACCAGGGCTGATAGCGCAACATTTATCATGTCATTTCCTTTGCAATTCTGATGGATTTGGGGCATGTGCGTCAGGAATCAGGGCGCCATCCTTCAGACAGACCCAAAACTATGAGATTATGTAATTGACAGCACTGCCTCTCATATTTAGGCCTATCATCTCCGGCTGTAAGTCGCTCTTATCGTCGAGCTGAGTGGGCAGAGAGCCGGAGAGTCAAAACACGAACGTTCACTTCCCGATTCCATGCAATTATAAATCTGGCTGTAAATGACCAGAGGGAATTGTGAGTAAAGCTGAGACGAGCCGAACAGCGGAGGTCCCTGCGAGGGGACAGCGGGGCTCAGAGCCCGACGAGAGCAGTGGAAAAGTTAAAGACAGATTAGGAAACACGCCCCCTTCAACCTAAACTCCCTTCGCTTTAGAGACAGAAATGTGAAGAGCAGAATAATCAAACGTTTTTCTCGGTTTTGGGTTGTGGGCAGAGAAGAGTATACGGGAGCAATCACCTAGGACCAATCGCATGGACCAAACACAGTTTGTATTACCATCTTTTCTCTTTATAAGGCACCAAACCAAAAAAAAAATCTATTGTGCTCTGAAAATTATCATTAAAACTCCTCCCCTGATCACATTTCTTCCTCAAGGATGATGAGTCATCAATTATCCCCCATATTTCTGACCCAACAATTCAGCAATCTCTTTGGTTATTTGCTTAATGCCGCCCATAATTGCTAATATAATTCCCCTGACCACAGAAAGGGTTCTTTGAACGCAGCTGTTTGAAGAAAGGGAAGCTTCTTGCCACCTGAGACACATTAATCATTGCTGTACTTTTCCCTCGGGAGGTTCTCGCTTATTTGCTTAGTTAAATCTACCTGAATTAAATGCAGGTGATATTTACACTGCTCCATGGTTAAATATGTACCTTAAGCCATTTGTTATGAGAGCAGGGAGTTGCTGCAAGTGAATATTAATGAAACACTGAAATGTGCAAATACAACAAGCCGCAATGCACATTATAGAAAATGATTATGATGTAATCACACGAGTTTGACTTCCCATATGGGATCAGCATGAGTAATGGAGAGATTTGTGTGTGATTTATGGAAAATGCACTACCACCGGCCACAAATTTAACCGAGTCCTGATTCTTATCTGCGCTGATTCGACGTTCAGACGGATGAATCAGTCATCCCAATTTAACGGTTTTTGCTTTGTCAGCTTGGTGTAAATTCAACGGAATTCTTACAAAACAAATCTTTACCAGTGGCAGACTACGATGCGAGCAGGTAACTGGTTTTCCCTATGCGTAGCGAGTTTCCTCTTTGCTGTCATTCAGTTTTCCTTTCAAACAAACTTTGGACAAATAGTTAGGTAAATAGTTGATGGGTTCCAGCTGTGAGAAACTGACAGCCGTCAGCTGGCGTCTAATTAAACGCCATTTATTCTACACTTTTTATTCAGATACTTGTCGGCTGAAGGATGATGACAAGCGATGACACTCTTAAGTGTGAGTGTGCTCCGATTCAGTTCTCAGGGAGAAAAACAGGTGCTTCAAAGAGGAGGAGGATCCCTGGTGGGTTTCTTTGATTTTGTCTTTGCTCTGTTCTTCTTACCACTGAATGGCAGAGTAAAAAGGGAAAAGGAGGATGACATAAAAGCTGTCTTCATGAGTAAGAGTGGTTCTCTTGACGGCGCCCACGTGATTTGCAGGGTTTGCTTTAACGAGATGGAAGGCCCAGAACCTGATATGTAAATAATCTTAAACTAGATTTGCTTTCCAACAGGCACGTTCTGGTTCCTGAATCATCCACGTTAGGCTGAATGGTGTCAAGGGGAGAAATATTCCAAATACAGGCAGAGTACACTTTTGTGACGGCACAAATTTAATCTAAGTGGGAGTCTGTCTTTTCTCATTACCAATTAATTATACAGTATGATGTCATCATATTGGCTAATAAATTGGATATGGGGGTGTAATGGGCCAATAGCCTACTCCAGTTCATCATGAATGTCCTATAAAACATCCTACTTTGGTTTCATTAGTTGGAGGCAGCACATATTATCTGTTGTGTGATAAGGGCCAGGTTTTACCACAAAACAACAGCTTGCCCAAATGTTTATTTTTTATCAGCACATGCATGTATCTCTGCCTTCAAATTGTGTTTCAATAAAAAACCTAAAAATGTTTTCAGTAATATGCTTTTAAAGAACCATTGTATCATTTCTTTGCTCTGGTATTTAATTTCTATCCAGTGCTGAAAAACAGGAGCCCTGATATTTACTTCTACTAAACAGATTCATGTGTGACTTTTCCACCCCAGCAACATTATTATCTTAAGCAAAGCTTGCCAATGAAAAAATCATTGGAAAAACATTGTTAGCCTTGAATTCATGTCCTTATTAGTCTACATTATTCTGTTTGCACTTTCTGCTTTTTTCAGTTCTTCTGTATGATTCATTAGAAGGTAAAAAAATGTTTGGACAGGAAATTGGGTTTATAAAAATGATTTAGTCTTGGCGGTACAGTTTGTACATCTGCTTGTCTGGAATATTTTCAGTTACTTACTATTGGAAAGAGCCAGTCAATTTTAAACCATCTGAAGTCGTGATGGATTTGATTGAACATCCGATGTCTTTTAACTGGTCGGAAACACAATTCAGCTTTGATATTCTGTCATTTAAATATCTTTGATCCTACGTGCTTTTAAACAGAAAATAATGTGAATCCCGCTTCAGTGACGATCACGTTGCTTTTAATGTGTCTTGGCTGTCTGCTGTTTTATTGCCTCTTGTTAAGATTGTGACCACATTGCAGATGGCCGCCCCCGAGCGGAGTCGGTGTGTGCGGAAATCCCTTGTGTGTGTGTGTGAGTAGTTGCTTGAAAGTAAAATGATCAGTATTCCTCTCACTGTGGAGGAATTAGCTGCCAGAACACTGCTTTTTCTGCCAACTTTGATCCCAGCTCTCCTCTCAGGACCAGTAAGGTGGACAACAAACCACAAACCTTATAGCTTGTTAATGGACCGACGAGGGGCTCGCAGCCTCAGGCAGAGTTCAGCTGGAATCACATGCAAGGTGGACGAGAAGGAGTACAGTACACAGCTACACCCTGCCCTCTTTCTCCATGCTTTGTTAGTGCCTTAATCAATTCCTGACTGCTATTGAGAGAACTTATAAATTAGCTTGCCCCTCGGCTGTGAAATTAATATAGTGGTCAGATGTGGTGGCAGTAGCAACCAGCAGATGCTTGACTCAACAAGATGGGGCTTGAGATAATGATACTGGTGAGTAATAGTTCCTGCCACATGTTTTTTTTTTTTTCTGTAAGAGTACAAATCACTGACTTTCAAATGCCACAGAACATTTACCGTCTGTATTTAAAGATCTCAATTTTAATTGAACAGAAAATGAACATGTGACATTAAGCTTTAATGAATTTCTGAAAGCGACTGAATATAGGCTTACCTCAGGTCCTCAGAGGCCCCCGCCTGGATCAGAGGAGTCTCTACAGAGTGTTCGAACACAGCCCCCTCTGAGCCTGCCAACACACACGCAAGTCACAGAAGAATATCTCCCAAATATGTGCTCTAAAAATGATGTTATGGTACTAAACACAACCCACAGGTTAAAGAAAAACAAGTGAGTTTTTTTGTCTCTATTTTAGACAAAACGACATTCACAACCAACACCACAGGACTGCAGCACATTCACCTGTGACTGCAAATTTCTCTGCTGTCATTGTGACTTCCTCTTCATCTGCCGTGAACAGGAGTCTGCTTCTGTCTCCACTCCGCACCTCCAGCCTCTGACACTGAGCCTCCACAGCATCAGGTCCTGCAAAATTAAACGCATTTTTTTCCTCTGGACAAGAAATACCTATAAATTCTGCAGAGCTGAAAAGATATTTCTAAAGCAACAATTGTCCGTGTTTTTGTAGCTGAAAGTTGTAGATAATAAAAGCATAATTCAGTTTAATCATTAAGAAGTACTGGAAAAAACAGATTTTTTAAAACTCTGTAAAGCTAAGTCTATTCAAAATATCACACAATCAGATGAAGGCTGCGTTTCGTTTCAGTCATCCTTAACGAAGAAGGATAAGCATTTACAACTAAAACATATTCCATTTGTGATAAATATCATTCTTTTGTGTGCTTTTTCAGATGTGCATATTTTTCTAATATTTCCCTTTCTGGTGCTCTCCATGAATCCACACCCTATGACGGCTGAGGAATTTAATTATCATCACCAAGCGCTATCCTAATCTGGATGAAATACACTTTTACAAGAGCAAGCACTAGTTTTCTCAGAAAGGTCAAGCATGATCAAAAAATGTCATATCACCAGTCTTATCAAATCAGCATCAACTCTCCACTTGCACATGCTGGCTAAAATCAATAGCTATTAATGTTAATAAGTGGGCCATTTGCTCTGTAGTGGCCATTAATCATGTGAATGACTGGTAATTTGGACTGACTGATGGTTAAACCTGACGATAAGAGGAATCTATTAGCCTTTCAATAAGCGAATCAGAGGTTGACGTGTGATAGAAATGACCGCGCTGGGCGCACAGACTATCAGGGAGAATTTCTAGATCAGAAGTGCTCACTTCATATCAAAGTTAACAATAAATAAGATCAATGTGGCTATTCGAAGAGCAAGACAGCGAAATGAAAATGTCTAAAGGGACCAGGGCATACAAAACAAATGGAGTACAAAACTACTGCTTTGGGTTTTAAACTGTGCTGAACTCCAGAAAAAAGCAGGTGTTTCTCCATCACCTGACAGAACAGAGGCACTTTAAACTCACCCACTGTGAGCTGACCAGTCAGCTGTCCTTGACTGTTCCTGGCATTCAGCGTTACATTCTTTTCGGAATGCAACACCAACACGTTGTCCTGGGGTAAAAACAGAGGGAAAAAGCAAAAATAAATAAATAAATAAATAAATAAACTAATTGTGTACAAGCTTTTTTTTACCCACATAGCAGCCAATACAAAGTCACTCACAAGATACATAGTTTATTATATAAACAAAAATGTTGGCGAGTGAACTGAATGACAATATTGCAATAAGACTAAAGAATGAAATGAATGAATGGAAATGAAATCATGCTAAAACGAGTAATGGGGTGTGGAGAGACTGAGGGGCAGCTGCAGAGAAGGTGAGTCCTGCTCTCCCTTCTGCAGATATTTAACTACAGGACCTGTTCTGCTCTCAGACAGTTTTGCATTTTGCCATTTTATGAAGGTTTGACATTTGAATGATGGCATTGTGTGTGTGCATGTGAGTGAGAGCCACTGCGTGCATGTTGATCTGGCTTTGAGTCTATGCAGCTTTTTTTTAAAATCTTGTTTTCTTTACGCAGTCTGGTAACGCGCAGAAGCCTGTTCACCAACACAAGGAGGCCGTGATTGGAGCAGAGATTGCTCACAGTCCTGTACCCGCTGTGGATATTTCCCATTGCATATCCACTTAGCTCCAGAGCTCCAGACGAAATAAAAATAATTTAACATTATTACATAAAACTGACTTGATCGCAAAGAGACACAATGGCAGATTGAGCAGTGAGTTGTAAACAAAGTTTGTATTAGTTTTATGGAGCACTAGAATAAACTGTGACAAATGTCACAGACTGTTGGTAAGTAATTTATGTTCAGCTGGATTTCTTTTGAACATCATGTAGATTTAAGCCCAGTACACGCGCTCTTATGACAGTTTTAGCTAAATGTAATCCTTCATAAACCACTTCTTGCACTGACAAATAGGGGAAAGTTATCAATAATCCATAAATCTGGCAACAAAAAGAACTAAGCCCTTCAAAGGGTCGAGGCTGTGAGAAAATATTGATCACAGCAGCTTTAAGATGGCTTTAAACAGGGCGAGAAGATCAGTACTGTGGACTATAAGCCGAATCTGTTTTCCAAAGTTTATTCCAAATTTAACTAATATTTCTCCCATGAAAAAATCTTGTGCTGCAAACTGTTGTTGATTTTACTCTTCTAATCTGCTTTTATCTCACAAGGATCAGTTCATATTCATATATTTACAGTAGCATTAATTGTCAGTGCGAGTGACTTTTACAGGCATTTAGTTTCTAATTTCAGCCTTAAATTATGCTGAAACGCAGTCTCATAGTTTCAACTCACTTCAAGCTTTCCCTTAGAGATGCCAGTTATTATCTCAAGTGTATAATTATCTCAGCTCTGCAGTGAGCAACCTTGTAGAGGTCATTTGGTTTATTTTCCTCCCCTTCTTGCCTCTTTGAAATATCAAGGCACATTATGAACAGAAGTTCACCAGGAAGCACATCATCATGCAGAAATTAGCATTCTTGATTTGAATTATCCCTCTACAGAGCTTATAGGTCTTAAACAGTTTCCTGAGGGGGCTATGTCTGAGAGGCTCTCCTAGCACAACCCTGACATAAAAAAGCTTTTTTTTTTTTTATATAAACTGTGCCTGTTGCAGAAGGTCAAGTGTAAGCACATGAATGGAGCTGCTGTTTTGGGTGCACTGGGCCCCATCAGACTGCAAAATTACCACAGCTGCATTAAAGCAAAGGATGCCTCCCTGCATACGATGAAAATACGCCACGGCTGTAAGCAGGAGCCTGGCACTCCGCTTCACTGACACAGTCTGAGAGAAATAAGTCTGAGACGCCGCTGCTGCTGTTCAGTGAGTGATCGAGGGGAAATAAAACAAAAAAGCAGACGACTGAGGCTAAGATAAAGAGGGTTTAATAGTAATCCAAGTAACCAAGTATTTGCATTTCTTTTAAACTGTAATTATACTGGGCTGCTTAGCTACGGCTGATATGCAACTGAAACAAAGCAAGTCATGCTTTAAGAAGGACAACTTAATTTGATACATAATCAAGCAGGATGGTTTACAATGTGTGTAGGCATGTTCATAATTTTTCTTTAATGTAAAAATGTTCTTTGTGTTCCTTTTTTCATTGGACAAAATCTCAAAATGCAGCTGCTGCCTCACGAGCTGTCACTAAATATGAAACGTGATCATTTCAAGATTAGAGGATACTCAGTGTAAAGAATTGTACTCTGAGGGTAATAGCTTACCAGACTTTACCAGCTCTGAGTATTAAAATTAACAGGCAGATGTTTTGAGCTGTCCTCTACAGGTGTGTACTCCTTACAATCATCTGACATTTATCTAATGCAAGGAAGTAAGACTGAATTAAGGACTTGTCTTAATCCAATGCAGTTACACCTGCCCCTGTTGCTATTTATGGATCAGTCAGACTCCCTGGGGATGATAAGGGGAACCAGGAGTCTGAACAGCTGAGACTTGATCAGCTGTGTCTGGGAACTGTGTTGACTCATACCTCACAGTTTACCAGACAGGCTGCTCTGTTTTTAAATTCAAATGAGAAATGACATATTTGGACATGCATTTCCCCATATATTCACAACATGACTGTATTTTTCCCAAAACACAAATGAAATGTTTACACTTCCTGCAATAAGAGGGCTTTACAATTATTCTAAAAGTGTTCCATATGACTACTAAGATGATTTCATCAAAAAACGGTACACTAATGACTCACTCATTCGGATCTTTGCAGCTGTGCCTTTCTTTATGCCCACCTGCAGCTTGCAGAAGAAGGCTTTCACAATGTGCAATTGAATTAAAAGTCCAAGCTGCAGAGTATATACTTCACTGGCTGATTTCTTACCCTCTGTACACATTCAAACTGAAAGGAGGTACTCCGTGAAATCAGTCTCTGTTGGTCTTAGCATAAATTAGCATAAATTGCATCTTAATGGTCCGTGACTGAAATTCACTCAAATATGTCAATTTATTAAAAAACACACACACACACACACACACACACACACACACACACACACACACACACACACACACACACACACACACACGCACAAACTCAAACCTAATGGACTGACCACTTTGCTGAAATAATTCACCGCAGCTCTTCAAATCTAATTGGACCACAGTTGGTCCAACAGCATACATTATTACCCCACTGATGTGCAAAAGGAAGGTGAGTCTAAGATGAATTGCTGAAGCTAAAACACTCAGACTTGTCTCCTTGGTGAATTTTAAAAATGCAAGGTGAAATCTATTCCAAACAAAAATTATTCTTTATCTGAAGCCAAAAAAGTAACTTTTTCCATCTTGTTTTTTTTTTACAAAACATCATTACATCAAAGTTATAAGTTTAATATTTTTTGCAAATATTGTGCATATTCAAACTTGTTAAAACTTTATTTTCATACTCCTTAGTATTAATTGAACTAAAACCAGTATATACCTTGTACCAGCTGAATGAGCATGTTTGTATTTAGATGAGCAAACAGACAGGAAGCTGCAGAGGGAAAAAATCATTTTCATCCAACTTAACATATAGCCAGAAAACAAACATAAAACAGGGTACAGCATGGATAGTGGAATATTACAGTTTTAATGGCCTTTTGATAAAAATGGTGATTATCTGGGCAGAGTGGCGCTTGTTGTGCCGACAGCATAATAACAGCCCCTGCTCTCTATACCTGACATATTTCTTCAAAAACGGACTAAACTGAGTGACCCATAGAGATTTCTGTCCTGTAAATACCTCTGCTGTTGGCAGATGGGAGGACCACTGCACAGCATTGGTCTGTAAAACACGACAGTAAAAACGTCTGCACGTAGTTTTGTTCCACAGAGAGAAATACTGGCTTTGCCCATTGTTAAACTTGGCCAGCTGCTTTGGTCTTGGGGTGTCTTTATTGCAAAGCACACAAATGATCTATTTAAATCACCACTTAGCTCGAAACTAAAACATGAAAGAGGAAGAATGAGTTGTTTCTAACTCTGCTGTGGCAAATTGGATCTACTATAGAGCCACTTTCTCCATTGATGTCCCCCCCCAAAAAAATCAAATTAAAAAGGAACCCTTGCCTCGAGGGCTTGAAATTGCCTCCTTCGCCATGCCTAATCACTGAAAAGGGGGATAATTCAACGGAGTCTGATTTGTGTGGGAGAAGGAAATCTGGATCAACTTTTTGCTGAAGCTGTGCTGGATAATCTACGAAACATCAAAGAGGAAGAAGGACAGGGAAGAAGTATAAGAGGGAAATTTATTGTGTGGGCTTGATTGGAAATCCTGCAGGACTCTGGTCCCCCTGTAACCGTTTGTAATCTCCTAAAGGTTGCGCGTGGCCTGAGAAGAGCCGAGAAGCAGCCCATTACCCATCCCCTTGTGATGGGAGGTCCTGATAGCACACTGTTTGAGGACAGCAGGAAATGAGCGGGCGGAGGAGGATAGGGGCAACCGACTGGAAGAGAAGGAAAGTAATCTCTCTAATCTAGGCACAAGTGTACAGAAACATCAAAGTATTGTGAAGTCTGAGCTCAGAGGAAAGTTGGCTTTGGATGTTCATTCATTTATAATAACCTCCCGATCACTGGAAGATCAATACTTGGCGACAACTTTGGAGATATCTTCCTCTCGGATAGAATTCACAGATATGTCTGTTTTATGTTGTTGACGTTAATCCAAATGGAAACTCACCCCTCTGGATTGGATTTCATTCACGTAGAGAGGCAACAGAAACTCGCTGACTCCCTCCAGGTGAATCCCATCCTGGTTCAGCCGGAGGTTTCCCATTCCATCCTGAAAATGAGTCATGATTAGTCATTTTTGTGATGAGCTGCTGAACCTTCCTCTGTGTTTTGACAGGACAGGGGCTGCAGCGCTGAGTGACAGAGGAGAGGCCGGACGTGACATGGCGGTCACCATGCTGCAGACACTCAGGCAGACTGCCTTCAGTCGGGGAAAGGCTAATGTGGCTGCTGCGGGTGTGATGATTCATGACCAATTTATGGTCATTGTTACTCTTTATCATGAAGGTTATCACATTGTTTGTGGCCATAATTGTGCTGATGGCCAGTTTAACAGCACAACGTTAAAACACTGTAAAAGTTGGGAAATATTTATAGACTGTTGGGACAGCACTGCACTCAATACAGATACTTGTAAAAACCAATGCAATAAGCACCATGAAAACAAATAAAAGCTCTTTCAGTGACAAAACTGTTTATTTTAATCCTCAAAATCAAAGTCTCAGTAGGCGTTGTGGAGGGAATTTGAACCAAACGCTTTCCTTGATATCTTTAAGAGAGCACCATGAATCTCAAAATTCAGCTAATGTAAAAATGATCTGCAAAGTAAACATAAGCATAGCTGCCACGTGAATTAACTGGACCTTTTTTATGTCAGACAAAAGGCATTCAGAACAGGGAAAAGCAAAAGGTATATTGACAACATTAAAAGCTGCTGGACTGTTTCCAGGTGCAGCAGTTCAAAGAAGCAGCTGCAGTACGTTTCTGACTCATCTTCAGGGCTTGCAGAGATCTTTGATAAAAATCTGCTCATTTATGCTTTTTATGCTACGTGATGTCTGCTGTGAAACTTCAAATTAATAAAACAGATATTGGGCAGTCAAGTTTCTGGAAAATGGAAAATCTTTAGTGGCAAGATCTGCATGGACTATTGCAAAATACAAAGCTTCAATTACAAGTATTTACATATCAGCACCTAATCGCAAAAGAAAACATCTGCTCCACAGCAGGCCTTCAAAGTTGCATACAGACTCAGATTAAGAACACGTTTCTCACAAGTGGAAAGCAACCACGACAGTTATTAACCTTCCCAGGAGTGGAAAACATAAGGGTCACTCTACAAAGTGCTATGCTCAGACAAAAGGCAAAATAAAACTGAGTGAAACAGGGTCATCAACAGGACAACCATCCAGAACACAGCAAACTCTTTTATTCCTGCCCGTTCAAACTTCAGACGACACACAAATCGACAGAAAGTGGACAGATGCTGTAAAGAAGAGTAGACCAAACTTCCCCTTTAATAATGGGAGAGACTGATTAAGTCATCCAGAAAATTATTGCTTAAAGGTGGATCTACAGTCCACTGAATCCTGCTTCTGCTTTCTGACTTCCAATGACACACTGTAGGCATTGTTTTCCACCTCATTTTAAGACTTGATATAGAGTAGTTGATTTTTAAAGAAATCATGTCTTGACCGTGGAGTAGGTAAATGCAGTTTTTTTTTATAAGTACAGCTGCATCAGATAACCTACTGTATCACATCAGGCAGATGTTTTCTCCACCAGCCCAAAGCTTCCTTCATAAATTAGATTCTTGCTGTTATTTCAACAAATAATACCTATAATTCAAATGAGGCAAACCTACATATAATATAATGACTGGACTAATATAATATATAATATATGATTCTGCCCGATAATGGTCTATTTTTCATCTCACATTAATTCGGGACATGATCTTTGCTGCTAATACCGGAAATCAGACAAGATTAAGTCCAACCACAACACAATGAGCAAAGTGTAGAGTGAGGACAGCTTTGTGGGGATTTATACGGTCGGGTCAGCCCAGAGAGATGTGTTGAAAGATTATACAGAGCGGGCATCACAAATGGATGGCGATAGTGATTTAAAGCGGCATGTCGACAGCAGGGAGAGCTCCATCATATATGAGGGCTGGGACTGGGAACAGACAGGAGAACAAAATCAAAGGAGTTTGGGAGGAGGGTGGGGCAGAGTGGAGGCCTTTGTGTGTCAGCAGGCAGATGTTACAGTCACTACTGTGCAGAGCGGAGGAGATTTAGTGGACGTGACTAGTCCAGTGGGAGGTGGAGAAAACAGAAGGGTGTAACAGCTCAGCTGGACTGTGCTGAGGGACCTGGAGGAGACCTTGAGCTCCGCTCAACCATAGAGGGGGCATTAATGCACAGAGAGGCAAATAAAACACTCCAGATTACCCTGCTGCCTATCATCAGCAGGATGAAGATGTGATGCAGATTTCTGCTTGTCGGGAGGTTAATAAATCTACTGGGCAATACTTGTTAATCCAGTGATAGGCGTGATGCATTTAAGATGATGCAGATACTGCACATCAGGTGTAAGTTAGGTGGTAAAGCCCTTCATCAAAGTCCTCATTGTATAGATCATAAAGAAAACTTCTTTATTTGCACTCTTCTTTCAACACAACTTTGTGAGTGACACCCACACCCAATGGGAACTATGACACTAATAATTTGGGGCAAAATCGTCATTTTAAAATGGAATCTGGTGAGTCCTGGGAGATTGAAGGCACTGATATAAATATTCCAAGGCAACACCAACAGCACTGATAAGGCCTTTTGCTCATGACACAGATTGATGGGAAGCAAAGGAGTAAAGGAGGCACATCAATAGTCAGGAGACGCCGGAGCCACAGAGAGGGGACGGCTGCCATCAGGAGATGTTGACAAAATGGTAAATTGTGTGCATTGTCCCTGAAAATGTCACAGGAGCTCACAGCATTAGCCTGTTTTGGTTCTGTTTGTGATGAACATATTTCTGTGTCAGGGCCAGCTGCCAAGTCTTTTCCAAGTCTTCATAAAACAAAATGAGACAAGGCAGACAATGAGAGACGGCGCCTCCAATTCTTTATCAAACAGGCTTTTAAGAATACTTTTTTCCACTAAGTTTTGGTATTAACCCATTGTGTTTTGGAGTGGCATTGCATTGTTTTACCTTGTAACCCTTTATTTAAACATGCTCTTTGAATTTTGAAGAAATATTAATGAAAAGAAATCATGGTTTTACCTCCAAATTGTATTTTCAATGATTTCAGATGCTGACAAAATGTAACATATAAAAATTGATCTTCTTGTGTTTACTTTAAATTAATATAACAACTACAAATTCAGGCCCTAAGAAGTTGCCTGAAAAAAAAAGTTTTGGAGTTTTCTGTTTATTTAAAATCGCTGTAACTACCACCCTCGGCATGAATAGAAGCAAGATAGATTTTTAGCTGTTCCAATCACCATGTTTTTGGATGAACAAAAATACACTGCTCTGTCCAAAATGGCTCAGAGTAGCTGAGCTTTCAGGGGGACTTGTGCAGTATCTAGTAATACAGTGTAGATAGAAGCTCAGGCATCCATAAGGTGCGTGCATATTTGGGATGTTTTTATTTCCATGATGGGAGCTCAGTTATGCTTTCCTTCTCGTGAGTCAGTGCCCATATTTGAGCAAAATGGGGAGTCTGCAGTCAGATTTGGGTCAAAGTAAAAGGACTATGTTCACAGCTGATTGAACAAAAGAAAACAAAAAACAAAGGCAAAAACTTCAGATGACGTGCTAAACTCACCACTGAAAAATTCATGACCTTGATGATCCAGACGGTGAGAGCCAAGTTAACAATCATGGTGACCAGTAGCAACAGCAGGAAGAAGTAGAGGCATCGCTTTCTCCAGCCGTACAGACCCACTGGGTGAACTGCATCAGCGGCCGGTCTCTGCAGGTGCACAGACTGCGATGCGAGAATAAACTGCTCCTGGGTAATCTGGAAAACAAACGCACAGAGCAACCTTTATGTTAGCGGGCTGTCAGGGATATAGTCGGTCCTCACAGAGGCAATCGCTTGTTATAAGTGGCTGTTACTTGGATGCGCTACAGTGCATTGACTGGACCATTTAGTTTCTCTAAAATAGTGCCATTACACTAAGAACAGGTGAGGGGCTGGCATCGTCTGCTGAGGTCCTGCTGTAGGTCCATGCTTGGTAATTAGGTGGAGGGGGATATTTGAAGAGTGTAAACTGTTATTTTAAAAGAGCAAATCACATTAGGGAAAGTCTGGCTTTTCACTACTGCAACTTTTAGGATTCCACAAACTGAACTGCATTTTCCCAATTGATTCCACAGAATAGCAATTGTGCTGAGAAGACAACCTAATTTAGAGACCATTTTATCAAAAGAAACATCAAATGAGAGAGTCCATTCTTTAAAGATGGTGTGTTTCCTTCCTCTGCAAGGAAGGGGGATCATCCGTCAAGATTCATCGATTGCAAGTGAATTGTGGGAATAACTGGCCCTAAAGTGAAAAGCTCCTACATAGCACACACGTCTTTCAGTCAATGAACATAAATCTTCTGGCAAATCTGGATACTAATGAGCTAATCAATGTGATTTATACAAGTCAGGGTCTGGAAAACAATGTCCTTGACCTTTCTGCCTTCACTGATCCTCTTTATGGTGAAAAGTCATTTGTATGGATTTAATAACAAGTCACAGCTTTGTTTTCAGTGCTAATTACTTGTTGACATTTTGTCATCCTGCTGCTTGGAGAATAATGATTAAAAAAAACATGACTGACAGCTCCCTGCAGCTAGTCTGCTTACCTCTCTGCTCAAGCTGAAATATTTACACTGTTACAGCAAGTCAACCATTTACACTAAGCTGGCTTTATGAGAAGATGAAAGACTTGGAGAAGAATTCTCTCTTGATAGTTCACTTCACGTCCAAATATCTGTCAGACTCTTCCCCGAACAGTCATAAAAACCTTTCAGACTACATGATAAATCAGTCAAAAGGTCAACTTAGTGCTAGCAAAATGTTCAAGCAGACTAGGTAAGAGCCAGCCAGCCTCTGAGAAGAAGCTGCTGCACAGGAGCTCTGATTTGAGATAAAAAAAATCTGATGTCCATCAACTGCAGTCTGCCAGGCGAGGGCGAGCAGTGGCTGTTCTCCAGCAGATCTGGACGCTGACAGCAGACTGACAGTATGACGCTCACACCGTGAAAGGCTAGCTGAGCTCTAAACTGTTCCACTCAGTCGATGTTTTTTTTTGTGCCAAGCACCGAAACACAAAATATCCAGCATCATGTTCATTGATCTTTCCTGTTGGAATCAGTCGTGCATGCATAAGGTGAAAGTCCTGCCCCAGATGCTTCATCCAAACTCAGTAAGTCATTAAAGGGGCAACTATTGTTAGTGTGTAGGTGTTTCTGACAGGCTCTCTTTAACTGCTGCTGAGGAAGAAAGAGTCTTTAGCTCAGCAACTTGAAGGCTTTTAACTACTCAATTAAATGGCCGAGGTCAAAAAAGAGTCATTAGAGAGACCATGTCCTGCAGACGTGTCATTTTAACTTCCAGAGGCAGCAGGGCAGCTGAACATCTGTTTTAAGAGTCAGGGCCTGTGAAGCTTTTGTGTTGTTGCAGCAAATCAATATCTCTTGTGAGGGTGAGCAGTTGATGAATTTTAGTCACTATACCGGCAGAAACACAGAAACTGATTTTGTAAAACTCAGCAGCATTGCATCAGGCGGCGTGTGGAACAGCGGCCAAAGGTGAGAGCCAGAAATAGGAGAATAATCCTTCAGGCTATTCCAGAATTCATGGAAACACCTGCATTTTCAACAAATCTTTCCCTTTGGGTGCATCTCATGACTATTTCACGAATGCCAAAAAAAGCTTAGCTTCACTGGATAATGTCTACTTTTCACTCTAAGATTTGGTTAATTATGAAAAGGATTGATTAAAACAAAGATTTTTCAAATCAATAATTAGATCTTTTTTTTTTTTTAAACAGTCAGACTGATGTAGAAAAACTGGTGGAATAAAATAAAGAGGCATGTCATAACATTATTATATTCCAGTATGCAGGAGTTTAAAAAAAGGATTTGTTAGTTTTACAAAAGTGATTTTTTTGGGTGATACACCGAGACCTGTAAAACCAAATCTGCAAAAAGACCACAAATGGTTAGATATCACCTTTTTACACAACTTCTTAACAGGTAGGGAAGACCGGAAGTGACTGCACAGAACACAACGCATCAAGCAAAATCCTTTAACGGTCTCAGCTCGCTTATCTTCAATTACTCTTGAAAAAACGGATGAACACTTCAGGTCACAACTGGAAGTAGGGGCAGATGTGTCGCAAATAGATGCTGCGACTTGGCAGCAAATACAAATGATCCACATCACTGGCCTAGAAATGTCACCGATTCCAATTTAACCTGCGTTATGGCAGAGGGACAAGAGACACACAGCACAAAGTCTGGATATGAGCTCTCAGTGGTGAGGCAGACAGGTTCACATTCAAAACTTTCCCCAATGTGGAATGAATAAAAAAACACACAACCAAACACAACCTAACACAAATCCAAAGGACACTTTCAATCAACATAAGAAGACTGTTTGAAAATCACATTTTAGCCCAGCTGGTCAGATAAAGCCATTCATTTCAATCCAGTGTTGCTAGGGAAACTTCACCTCTTGTCATTTCTATGGCAACCCACTGTTCCCATCACTGGTGGACCTTGTGCTTTCTTAACCAGACTTTAAATGTGCACGTTACTCTGGTGGAGCTCTGCCCCCAGAATCCTGCATAGAGCACACAGGAGAGTGCACAGTGTTATTGTCCATCTGTTGTTTCAGCATGCTGCTCACAAACACGCCGGCCAGACTGATCCACACTGTAGCAAACGAGAGGAAATACTCTGACTTTTACTAAAGCAAACTAGTGATAAGTTTGGTACTGTATACTGCCTCACATGAGGGAGGGTTATATTTAGGTAAGGCACAACAAGAAGTTACTTATCATACATTACTATACTATTATTACCTTACTAAGATATAACACAGTAGTTACTAAATAAATTGGAAATCTGCATCAAAACTAAGTTGAAGGCTTTGACTCAGATCTTTGACATTTGTATTTTACATGAAGACTATACTATAATGTTTAGAGGCATAAATTCAGCATAAGATCAAATGTCTTAATAGTCAGTAAATGGGAGGCAGGATATTATTCCCTTTGTTCCCTTTTTGCTTTTTCTGTGAAAGATGAATTTTCTACAGTTGCTGAAAAAGATTAATTATGCAGTGATGACAAGTGCCACTTCAATGTGCTAAAAGTCACGAACTGTGAAAAAACAGGAACAATCATGAAACATTAATGCCTTCACAACAAAAATATCTGTTTTTTAAAACACACTTTTTCCACTCCACTCAAACAAATAGCCGGACTGTAAATTTTCCTCTCATCCTGAATGTTTAAATGTTTTCAATCCACACTCATAAATACTTGTTTAAAGAGTTAGTAAGTGCGTTCTGTTATGTAATGATCAAAACTCAGCATGATCTATAGCTATTTCAGACAAATGTCAGCATATTTTCAGTAACAGATGAGTTTGAAATCCACTCAGATGTGTAACCATCTGCACCAATCAGTTTATATAAAAACAGGCTAAACACCTACACAGTAGCTTGCTATTCTGAGATAGCCTAAGCCTTAAAATAGCTCTTTCTGGATCACACGTGAAAACATCCTGGTGGATTTGTCGCAGTCATATTTATCTTTGAATTTATCGCCTCATCAATCCAATTTGTGTGTGTTTGTGCTGAGATCTGTCTCTCACTTTCCTTTTGCTTCAGGGGAAGAACAGGATCTTCAGAGCTTTGTCCGTAGTCCTCACAACTGGATCCAGCCAAAGCCACCAATAAGCCAGCAATTACCCAGCAGTCCCTTCCTACTACCAGCATGTCTCATCTTCACCAATTAGTGTAGAGGGTGATATTCTGCATGCTGCTTTGATCAAGCAGTGACGTGCTGCCGAGGCAGCAAAATACATCTGAGAAGCTCCTAATGAAAGAAAATGAGACGTTATTAATGCTTGATATTGTTAATCAGCAAATCGGCGGATGCTCACTCACTCAGCGGAGCCACCGGAGTCCCGCAAGGCTGCCTCAGTTGGAGGTTAAGAAAAGACGTGACGTGCCCTAATGATTGTGTATCATATGCTCATGCATTGTGCATACAACACAGCTATCCCAAAAGTCACACATAAAGGATGAAAACACCTATTTAGGTTTGGTGGACTCTCCGTTTTGACAGACAGTCTAATTAAAGAGGCCTGATAACAACACAGTTGCTGGGAAAGCCAATTACTCTGCTTAAAGTGTAACTCTCTGCATCTGAGCTACCATATCTCATTGTTGACGTGACAATAAAGCACGTGGAGGAGGATGCCACTGTCAATAGTCATTCCTCTTTCATGTGAAATCCATTTTTGTGGCTCCTTAATCTCGGGTGGTGCTACAATAGCATGGAGTTTGTCACCATGGCTTAAATGCTTGCAGTGGCTTTTCCCGATGTATGGATGATTGATGGATGGTTCTTTTTTTTTCTTCAAAGCAGGGTAAGTCAGCAATAAGTACAAGGCCAAGGGAAGATGAGTGACCTGAAAATAGGTTAGAAAAAAAAAAGGAAAAAAGCAACTTACGCAGCCAAAAAAAAAAAAGCAAACATCCCAGGTCTCTTAAAGGTTTGTCGCACAGCATTTCCATTTGCTGTTACTTCTAGCTCTGCTTCAGTTATGCTTTTATCAAGAAAATATCTGTACTTGGCAACACAAAGAGTGCAACAACCCCAGTGGCGTCCTGGATCCGTTCATGAAAGTCAAGAGAGCCGGTTTTAAGGCTCAGAACGCTTGCAGCTCTGTCAGTTCCCTCCACAGTGACGGTGGCAGGGAAAGAAGATGACAAACTGCTGATGTGAACAGACAAACACTTCCCCACAGTAAACTAGCTCTCTTTGCTAATCCCCGACAAATCCTTCGAGAGCCAACAGGGCCATTTTGGACTGCGCCCCATAGGCATCATTTGCATTCATCAGTTGAATGCACAGCTGAAGTGCCAGACTGAACACAGCACTATCAACAAATGTAATGTCACAAAGCATCCCGGACAAAGCCTCTGTTTTAATTAGATAAGAGAGACGGCTTTCAAACCACCTTCCTGGAGCTCAACAAAGCACGGTGCTCATAAAACATGACAAATTGGCCATAAGACAAACTTGCAGACTTACTCCTAAAGTGTTGGATCAGCAAAGAGCCAGTTTTAGCTGGAGTGATTTCTTGACTGATAAGCGTGACCAAAGCACTAAGCTCAGAGCTGTTTGTCTGTGTGTGTGCGTGAGAGAGAAGAGGGCCAATAGGTGCATTTGACAGCCAAGTCACAGCAGATCTGCGGTGAGGATTTCAGACATGTGGCTGCTTTTATTTTCTTTGGCTTTGCACTGCGGCGTGCAGACTAGATGCACATACTGTACCCAGAGGTTACTGCCTCCATCGCTAGACTGGAATGATAATGAGAAAGCATGCAGGGAGAATATTCATATGCTGTCACATTACTGTGATACTTGAAGAGGAGAATGCATACAGTATGAGGTATGGTGCAAGATATATATATATATATATATATATATATATATATATATATATATATAAAATAACTCCAGGCAGCCTTCCTGAGGTGTTTGAACACTGGTCAGGTGCTATTAATCATACTCCTGCCTGGAGGGGAAAGCGGACAGTTTCCATTCATCTTTAAATAGATGAAATTTTTAATAACACAGTTGATGCCAAGGGTGCACCTGTTGCGGCTGCCTGATGAATAACTTGATACTGGCAAGCTGGATAAAATAAAAGCATATTCAAATTTGTAATAAACAATGAGGGAACCACTCCACAATCCAACAGGACGTGGATCCTCAAATTCCTCTGAACGTGATTTTCCGCCCAAAATATCATTATTCCGTCTATTAACCCGCCACTTTCAATTAGACATGGGTTAATAGGCACTTTTTTTTCCTCCTTCCTACCTTACCTTGAGAGTCTCTACGTCGAGGGTAGCCGACTGCTCCATTTTACATCCTAATTTCGTTACAGTTACATATTTCCACAAAGTTGGCACGAGCCCGTTAATTGCACGAGATTCCCTCCCGACTCGGTGGTTAGCGGCACTTTCTGAACACCGTTAAAAGAAACAAGCCCTTCAAATATACGAGAGATACATTTAAAGTAGGCTACATATTAATGTCCCAGTCAGTTGGTCACGGCCGGAGCCTCAGAGTGGTAAGCGGGCTCAGGTTCTCACGCCCGGTACTCACTTTCTGACAGGACTGGCTCGCTCTCAAAAAGTCAGCCGTCGTAAAGCAGGACTTAATGACGCACAGCGCTTCCGGTAGAGAATTTCAAATGTGATTAAAAACCTGAAGCTGAGCATGGCTAACCACAGTTTATTTCCTTCACATTTCTGTTTACATTTTTTCTTATGGGAAGCCCACCTTTTTAAAAAACGTGCCCCTTATTAAATGAAAATCAATCTGTATTAACAAGTATTAGCAATTTTCGTAATAATCAGATTTTATTGTTAGTATGATCAATACCAGTTATGTTGGTATGCAATCATTGTTGGGTTTGGGTCAAATATCTGCAGCAACGAGCAACATGCCTTCAATAATTGAATATGTTATTTGATTACAAAGAAATAAAGATAGTCAACTCCAATTATGCATGGAAATCCAAACAGTTCTGTGACGTAACCAATTCTAAATTCTGAATATGATTTCATGCATTTTAAAATTAGCCACTCATTCTAATTGTAGTGGATTAACAAACATTTGTATTCTATTTTAACTGCTAAAGACCTTAAATGCGTTTTCAATTGGCGGTAAAAGAGGTAAATCAACTTGCTAAATTAATTTTCCATTTAAAGAGTAGATTGTGTATGTGAGTGGGGGGGTGGGGGGGGTGTTTTTAAATATTTACATTTTAGCTGTAGTGTGTCATTTTTTCCTGGTACAATGATGCTTAGTCTACATACTTCAGACAATTTCTTGAATGAAAGCTGAGCTCAGCAAAGCTGATGTTTATATTTTGAAAGTGTGAAGTGATCCAGTTTCCGGTTTTGTTATGATGAACTGTGACTCTTTACAGGAATCCAATCCCACTCATTAGAGTACACTCTGATAAAAGGGTGACAATGAACGTGGCCTGTACGTCGGAAACTAATATCTAGTAGCAAAAGCAGAGGATTTTTAATCCGAAAGCAACTTTAAAGACAACATAGCTTGAATAATTAACGTTACAAAGAATTTACGCACATTTCAAAGAGGTGACTTCAAAGCAGTCAGTTGCAGAGACTCATTCACATGGAGATGTTGCACCCTGTAGGAGGCGCAGCCATACTGCAGTAGGAGAAAAAGATGGATGGAGCTAATGCATCATTATTTAGAAAAAGACAGACAGACAGATAGATGCTTTATGGATCTCGCAAGGGAAATAGTTTTGCAACGGAAGCAAACAATGGAAAAAACTAATGATGTATCATGAGACAAGGATTATATGTACAATGTCACAATGTCAAATAATGCAACAATATATAAAATAATATATCAATTTCCACCTACTGGTGTGCACAAAATGTAAAGGTTGATAATAGGATCATTCAAATGTGAATTGTACAGAGTGAAACAGTTCAACCAATCTGTCAAAGTAAGAAATGAATTTAGTTGTCTATTTATAGATTTGGAGAGCTATTGTTATACATAACTGAGTTGCTGTACTATGAAGCGGTGAATGGTGTGACTGATTTTCTAAAGCGCTGTTTGTGACAGCAGAGCCTGAAAAGTCCGTTGGAGAGTGAGCTCTGCTGTCTCTGCAGTGCGTCATGGAGCGGGTGACATGGGATGTCCATGATGGAGGGCTGTTTGTTCTGTGACCCCTGTCATGTGCTGACCTGACTGGGCTCAGTCCAAGGATTTTATCCAGCTTTATGGATGAGTTGATTCATGCTCCTGACATCTCTGACACTGGTGCAGATCCCCCGGCAGATCAAAGCACTCTAGATGGAAAGAGCCACCGCAGAATGGTGGAAGATGTCCAGCGTCTTGCTGCACACACTGAGGGATCTGAGCCTCCTCAGAATGTGAACACCAGCATCCCTTCTGAGAGAGACAGTGTTGGTGTTGTTTTACAGCAAGGCTTTGCAACCAACCTGTAACTTTGATTATGAATGTGCTAAAAAATAGTAACACAAATTCACCTTACACATTAATTAAGAGTAATTTCAACAATTGAATAATATTACGTCGTTTTTACGAGTGAATATTCTTCATAAAGAGCTTTAAATGGAAATGAATTTCTCAGACATTCAGACTGAAAATGATACAAGTGAACATCAACGAAAAAAACTTGACTGAAAGCATTCAAGTAGATTTAATTTAATTTAAGATTTTAGAGAAAAAAACACCCCCTCTTTCCTGTTAGGTTGGTTGTCTGCCAGTGTGAATGAAAGTTTCCACAAAAAACATGTTAAAAGAATTGTAAATTAAAACAAGAAGTTTTCTTGTTTTGTTGTGTTTGTAGGTTTCTATTTAAACTGCCTAAAGAAACAGCTTTTCGTTGCAGTGTCTTCAAACCGGCCATAGGGGGCAGCAAAGTGCCATCCAGACAAATGCAATCCACCCCGAGCAGGACGTTAGAAGGATTACCAATCAATTACCGACCGATCAATTCACAAGAACAAGGATGTCAGACGCCAAGCAAATTATGGCCCAGAAAAGGTATATCTACATTGGATCATCTTTGATTCTTTATGTAATAATCTTATTCTGACTCAGTAATAGTCTGTTAATGTAGCTGTTGGATCTGTTTTCCTTTTTTTAATATCGACTCTTATGAAGCAGCTAATGATTAAGATATGGTTTGATCATCTGTTTTTTTCTGGGTGGATTTTGTCTTTGCAGTCCAGCTCTGATTTGAGCTGCTCTGTGTGAAATGTGTGTGTTTCAGTGCTAAAATCGCAGCTGGAGCTGTTGTGTGTGTTGAGAGTGAAATAAGAGGTGATGTAACCATTGGTAAGGCGTTTATTTTGTTTTAAAATGACGACTATGTTTGTTTTGACGGCGTGTTGTTGTCCTCCCACCTTGCAAAATCTTTTTTTTTTGCCCCCACAGGAGCCAGAACAGTCGTCCACCCCAAAGCTCGCATCATAGCAGAGGCAGGGCCCATAATTATTGGGGAGGGTAATCTGATAGAGGAGCAGGCCCTTATTATTAACAGGTAGGTGTGTTGTAGCTTGCTATTAATTTCCCTTTGTGCATGTTACTCTTTCATTTATCTGCTTTAATGGGTGTCCTGTGTAGTTATCCTGAGAATATAATGCCTGACACAGAGGGAGTTGAGCCAAAGACAATGACCATCGGAACCAACAATGTGTTTGAAGTTGGCTGTGGTATCCTTTACATTTCAAACCTATGTGTATGTATGTGCATATATCAGTATCTGACGTTATATATCTCTGTAAATATAAAAAATCGTAATTCAAAGACATAAAAGAGGCCGTCCACCAGAGAGCACTAACATGCTAATTTTTCTGTTCAGCTCAAGGTTTGATTTCAATTCTCCAGTTCTTACACAGCAAGCTAATAATATTAATAATAAAAATAATGATAATGTAAATTTTTGTGTATAAAAACAATGTAATCGGTTGACGGAACACTTATATTTGCTAGTGATTGTTAAATGTCATATTCTGTTGGTTTAAATCCTTAAATCTTGTTCAGTCTCTCAAGCGTTGAGAATTGGAGACGATAACGTTATCGAGTCCAAGGGTCAGTACTCTGATTGTCTTTGTCCTAAAGCTCGTTTTGAATGTTCTTGTAGTGTACCTTTGCACAAAAAACTCATCTTTTGTCGATGCAAAACCTAAGCCGACCTGGGGAGGAACGTGATCCTGACCAGCGGCTGCATCGTGGGGGCGTGCTGCCAGGTCAACACGTGTGAGGCCGTGCCAGAGAACACAGTCGTGTACGGCTCAAACTGCATCAGGCGTGTGCAGAGTGAAAAACCACTGGTCCGTTCCCCTCTCCCCCCCCCCCCCCCCCGCATGTTCTCACAGTCGAAAAACCTTCTCGACGCACTGTGTGACCAGTAACTCTTCTTTCCCACCCTGAAGCCTCAGACTCTGCAGCTCGACTTCCTCATGAAGATTCTCCCCAACTACCACCACCTGAAGAAGACTGTGAAAGGAAGCGGAACGCCCATTAGAAACTAACGCAGAGGTGGATTCAGAATCAGTCGGAAGCGTCACACAGATACCTGCAGACCACACATCTCTCTCAACATGCACTTTTCTTATACTTGCCCGTGGGGGTGTGCGTCCCTGATGTCTTTTGGGTTACTTATTGTACAGAATTGATCATCCCACACTTAAGCACTTTGACACATGACCAATTTTCTGACTGCTCATGAAAGATTGTGCTTTTACAACTGCTTTTTATTTCAATGTGTTGTATTCATCTATATTCATATTTAAATTAAATTAGTTATACCATAAACATTGTAGTGAATGCTGGTTTTAATTGTTGTGTATTTTAGGACCAAAAGGAGGCGCTATTGAGCAACTGTTTGGACTCTATGCTTTCCACTATGAAGGCATTGTTTCATCAGGTGATGCATCATGTCCAAATAAAGAACGAATCTTTATGTCTAAAGATAGAAATGTGATGTTTTTTCCTTTTTCCTTTGTGTATATATATATATATATATACTCAAAAAAATATATGTGCAGATGCTGAAAGTTGTAACATGTAATTCTTGACTGAGAATATAGGTTTTTATCAAAAAGGGTGATAAAGGTGGAGCTGGGTGGCTCGCCCAGGTTTGAATCCTGGCTTTTCCCCCTTGTACATGATCATCTTCTCGATATCTCTGCGTTCTTCTCTTAAGCTACTTTTAAATAAAGGCCACCAGTGCCTAAAAATAAAAAAGGGGGAGTAGAAGCCAATTACTGTGAAGTAGCGATGCCTCCTTCTTTGATTTGGTGGCAGTCGTTGCCCTCCCACCAGGGCTGGTGTCGTGGGTACAGTGGGAATTCCACACGGATCACAATTTATTAGAACTGACATGGGTGCGGTTCCACATTGCATTTCTGAATAATGCCTTTTGCTCCCCTTCCCAAGTCTGAGCCCCCCGGGGTGGCGTTCCCATCTGTGACAGACTTGGATGTGGATGGATGCTTATAATAAGAGGTGCACCACAGCCTGCGACACCTGACATGAAAAGTTCAGATGTCACAGTTTCCAGTTGTTTCCTCTTAAGCTCTTGCGGCTGTAAAACAAGCTCAAGGCCACCGGGGTTCCTGGGAGTTTAAAGGCTTTGTTTCGTGTTCAGTGGGCAGGATGCCGCACAGAGCAGCAGCTCCTGGTAGGAGGCCCACAGCTGGCGTCGCACACTGCCAATACTCATTTCTACATGTCACGGTGGAGGCCCACAAGCATCAACCAGGGCCTCATTATTTCAGCGGTGGGGTGCACCCGGGGCCACGTCTAGGCTCCTTTCCGTTCTCACTTCCTCTGCGCTTTTTTTTCACTGGCATCATCTTAATTCGGTGGTGTTGCCAAAGCATCAGTTTACTACAAAACGACCGGAGAGACAGATGCTCCACGCAGTTGCCCGGATGTGCGGAGTGACAAGGACCTCATGGGAGCTTGTGCGGCCTTTTAATCTGCAGCAGGTTTTTACACAGGCAATTGGATGTGATGATAGCGACTCATGGCAGGAATTTGAGTGGTTCAGATGTTATTCTATATTTGGAAGCAGCTATTTATACCTGTCTTTTACGCCACTGTTATGAAACTGAATTATCTAGGTTCCTTTGGACCTTTTCACATGGCTAGCCTATTTGCTCTGCTTTTCATCAGATTGTCTGGAATAAGTGTTGTTTTTTTTAGCTACAACAGGCAGGACTGTCTGAGGGATCAATAGTGGCATGGGTAAAGAGAAATGCTGACACGAGATTGAAATTACACCATTCCAAACATCAAACTACAATATTTCCCTGTTATAAAAGATGTTTTTCTTGCTCTACAGTGCAGTATTGTGAAGGTTTCAGCTGCACGTCGTCCGCTGCAGCCTGTCCTGTTCACAGGCCACCAGTTGCGTTGAAAGGATAAAGGCTTTCTGACAGCTGACCTTTACATCCAGGTCCACTCCACCTTTTAAAACTGAAATGTGACCTATAGGCCACAGTGATTTCCATTGCAATCCCACAGAAATAATTAACTACATCACAACGGGGACCCAGAACCACTGGATGTTAAGCCTTTTGGGTTGTGATGGTGGCATGGCTCCGTAGAAAAGGATGTCACCTGGGTGTGTTCACCATTTTGCCGTTAAAGCTGCAACACGTATCCCTCAGGGAGTGAATATCAAAGACCTCCCTGACTTTTCCTGGAACTCTACCATGAACTTCACATTTGCAGCACGCAAGCCACATTCAGATGAGATTGTTGGATAATATTGATCAATTAAAACTGAGAAACTTTCCCCCCTTTAAAATTTCTCATCTCTTTTCCAACTTTTTATTTTATTTTATTTTTTTACATGAAAAGAACTGAAACTGAAACCCATGTTGGTGTTCATATCAAATGTATTGGCATAGCTTTCACATGGAATAGAAAATGTAACAAAATCTTAAGGTGGTGTGTTTGCAAAAAGGAGAAAATAATGATAGTTTACAAAGCTGAACAACTAAAATTGTCATGTAAAATTTTATTTTCACCATCACAACTCAAACTTTGTAAACATACAGCCAAAACCAAAATGTAGGCTGCAAGTCAACCTTTGTTTTCCCTGCATATGTTAAAGTCAGCAATAAGTGTCCTGGGAAAGACTTAAAGGACCAGGTTTAAGTTTAACCTTTTATTGGTTTTGCTGCACAACACAAGAGAATAACTTCACATATCTGCCTCTGACCTGTTTTGGGACATTTTAAGACCACGCAACAGCAGTCAAAGAGAACATTTGAGTGCGTTATGGAGACTTGTGTCAACATTTGGGATTTGAAGCCTCGGAGACATACTTAACACGGCCTTTGGTCTCCACTCCACCCTCAATGTTCACTGAACCATAAAAGTGTGCAATGCAGACTCAAGTCAGCTCCACCGGTGCCCCTTTTTTCTAGGTCTATCCACATAGGAGGAGATAGGTTTGATGTTTTACGAGTTTCTCCATTTAAGCATTTTGGTTTTAGTTTTCTAAGAGGAACAAACCTTGCCATGTGAGCATATTTTTAGCTTTCTTGGAAGATTGACCCTTGAATCAACTGTGCCTGCTAACAAAGCTTGTCAGAACAAAAAGAGACAGAAGTCTGCTGGATGATTATTACTTGGTGGATTATTTCTTGGCAGGAGCTTGTGTTCCCTCATGCGGGTGCTTGGTGACTGACAGTAAGCAGAGCATCAACATGTGCCCTGATATGAGCAAAATAGCACTCGTGATAATGTGGAGAAACTTTAGCAACATTAGGGACTTCAAGTTTGCTATAGTACATGTTTTAATTTAGGTTTTAAGCCACACTGGTGGCATGGCCCTAGGAACTGAAGTCACTTTGATCTACACTGCAACATATCTTGGTACATAGTCAATTAATTAAAATCTAATAAAATTAGAACAATGGTTCAGGCCCCCAGAGAATGAATCTAAATAACTTTGCTGATCCCCTATCTTTGTTTCAATGAACTCAAAAGGTTTGATTATCCAGTGAAGGATATAAAATAAAGCAAGTTTCAGTGCCTCTACAATTCTGCAGAGTTCTTATCAACCTGGTATGTAGCTGCTTTGTGTTTATCGACAAGAAATATGTTTGGTACCTTTAAGCTAAATGCACACTTGTGCTTTAATTGGTATTTTATATAGAATTTTTACAAAGCATACAGCTCGGGGTTGTACTGGTTAACCCTATAATGCTATATGTTTCATATTTGATACCTATGGTTTCTGAAATGTTTTGCATCTGAGATCTTTTCCATCATTAAGTCATAAAGACTATAAATCAAAACCCTCCTGTACACACTCAGATATACCTGATAACAACAGGCAGAAGATTCCACAATATTAATTTTGACTTATTGCACACATAATAAATATTAAATATTTCAAAATTATTATGATTTTTTTCCTATTTTGTTAAAGGGCGAAATATAGATTTCAAACAAAAATCATTTATTGGATTAGACTTTAAAGGGTTAAATGTGCATCCCAAACCTTGGTCTCTTCAATAGTTCAAAAGCTAAAACAGAATTGGAAGCACAATAGAAGAGGTTACTTTCCTCTTGATGATATTAATGCAAAAGGAAATTCTTAGATCTAGTTCTCAATTTTCTGATATCTGATTCATTGTTCTTGGCTACATCTTGGTCTTTTTTTGTGCCTGCAGCACAGTGTGACCACACAGTCTGCACCTCTAGACATCTGCTGTTCCATTTTTTCATTGTTGTCATATTTTGTTCCTGTCATGAAGAAATGCAGACAGTTAAGCACCCGTTTTTTGTGTCTGCCAACACTGTTGCAGATGTGTTTGTCTTCCCAGCTTACTGGAGTTGTCAGTGGGACATACTTCCATGTTGTCCCATGTTCTACATTGCTCTGTACCACATAAGCATAACCATTAAAGAAAACCTGAGCAAACACATCGGGCAAGAATGAAAGGCGGCTGTCCAGGCTCATTGAGGGACATGTTCATTTAAAAAAAAACATGCAGTGGTTCAGTTCTGCTGAAACATAGAGGGATTTAGTGTTACAAATAGCATGCTGGAGAGAAGAGAGCTCTACCAAGGCTGTTCAAACATCACTTGAAAGGATAAACATGAAGAGAAACACTCATCTATTATAAACAGTCTTTAAAAATGGGCAATATTTGTCATATAATGTGAGTTTTACATTGCGCGGAGGCCGGGTAATTAGAGGTTCCGTAGTGGTGAAGCACCCAGATAAAAGAATGAGCAAAATGGCACACAAAACCAAACCTCTCAGGGCCAATTAGAGCAGGTCACTCTGACCACAAATTGCTCATTAGTGATCTTTGAGAGAGATCAAAGGGCACTAAGCATAAGGGAGGAACACAGCATATCAGTAAGTCAGAGGAATGGAATGGGCTGGCGTAAAACCCGACGAGAGCCACTTACCCCGCATCACTCGAAAGGATAAAGTGTGTTGCTCTGGCTGCTGTCATGTTCGCAGCCAGGCCTGCTTGTTTTTACAGATGACCTTTGGTTGGATTGCAACATTGTTCTTCCTTCTTTTTTCCCCCTCTGAGGTCATAGTGGATGAATCTTGTGCTCGCAAAGTGACCAGGGTGTGCTTTGCCTTTGTGTTGCAGGAATGCAAAGAAAGTATGTTAAAGGCAAAACATCTTTGAGTCATCTGACTACCAGCTGAGCGGATTGCAAGGACTGCAGGGGTTCGGCCCTCAGGGATACACTGGAGGTCAATACATTGGCAATGTGTCATGACGGATTCTTGTTTTGGTGTTCATTTCAAGCTGGCCTTTAAATGTGAGTCACCGATCCAGAAGACAGTATTGGAAAATCTGATTTGTGTCTCAATCTTCAGATCTTGTCTTTGCTGTTGAATTGCTCTTTTACAAGTCAGCTTCAGTTACCTCATCATGTAAAATCTTGTACACATCCGGTATCATTTTATCATTTCTGACTTCGGACTCTTTGAGGTTTTGTCAGCTAACATGCAGGGTCCATGACCTATTTCAAGCCAATCCGTCAGTGATATCCTGATTTACTTCATCATTGCAATCTTTGTTCCTCTGGATGAAAATAATGGACATATAGGAAATATAGCCACATGTGAAATATGAATGTAGGCTTCAAACAGACTAAAACAGAGCATCCACTCTTGAAGCCAGCCAATTAATGGTATTTCTCAGTTTCATGCATGGACTTGAGAACGTGAGATTATTAAAGACAACTTGAAAAATGTGGGAACCGTTCAGGAGATTGGCTAATTAAGATTTTCACACCTAGAATTTAAATTAAATTAAAAAAAGAAGCATTAATGGCCTCAACATGGAACGATTGTGTATCGTAGAACAAGTTGAAAAGCGTTTGTCATCTTTAATGAGTTCCTATAAGAGTAAGTTGATGGAAAAAAGGTTTTTGTCCACGCTAATGCAACTTATTGGGGTACTGGTTACAGCTTTGGGGTTTAGCATACAGTTGCGAATGCAAACTGAAGAAGACCTTCGCCTTCTAACTTAAAATATAAAATGAAATTCTTTTGTTCTCCAACTCCTCGGTTTTACACAGGGAACATAACATGCTCGGTTTCTTTTGTCTCCTCCAGTGGTCCGACTGACATTGTTGTTGCATTTTGTTCAACTAGCATTCTTCTAAATGACAAAGAGATATGCTCATGTAAGGCTGGACCATGTCAAAGATTGCTGACATGTTACCCAGGACAACGTGACCAGACTGTCTCCTAGATGCTCGTCTTTCTCCACCACCGCCCCCACCCCCTGTCTGTGTGTGTGTGTGTGTGTGTGTGTGTGTGTTTACAGGGGTCCACCCTCCCTCCTCAAGCATCAGACCACACAGCTCAGCCCTGAGACCTGTCAAACACAGCTGGGACATCTCCCCCACTCGGTCCCCCTACTCTCACCTCCCCCTCCCGAGCTCTCCTCCCCCTCTCCGCTCCCCAGACTTCAGCAGGAAGCTTTGATACAGGGGTGTTGAGCAGCAAGGGGAAGATTTCCATTTTTATCTGCTTCGAAGACTCCAAGACCCTCCTCTCTCTCTCTCATCATCCCCAACTGCCTCTCATCAGCATAAAAGACTCTGCCATGTCCCTTCTTCATTGTGTATGCTTCAAATGCAGCATAATTGATATAGACATGATCGGGGAGGGGAGTGAGCAGAAATCTCCAAGACCGATCCATGGCGACTGCTTCTCCTTCTTTTGTTGCTTTTAAGGTGCAAGTGCAGCAAAAACGACCCGCTCTGTTTTCTGCTCCGGCTGTCACACAAAGCAAGCTTCTGTCCCGTGCAATAAATGTCAAGCAACCTATAGTCAAAGTCTTGGCAGCAGAGAGTCTGTCAGCTTCCCGAACTTTTCATCGCTGAATACAAAGCGAGACAGTCGCTCAAAATAAATGTTTTGAAATTTGGGAGCGTTCGAGGCTGCCGTGTCACCTGACGGCTGCTTTTAAAGCTGCTTTGCACCTCCTGCTGTCGACAATAACAGGCGTGCCTGTAAACTTTATAGCGTTTTCTCATCTCCGCTGCTGTTAAGACATCACTTCCATGGCTCCGAGGGTTGGCTGTTTCCGCCTTCAAAGGTCATAAATCAAACACTCTTAGGTGAGCTCACGGAGCTCTATACCGCAACTAGTCATATCCCAATCTGGAGCAAATTACAAGCGTTGTCTCCTGTAATTCTGTACAACAACCTGCTCTGCTCACTTTGAGTCTGGGCTGAAATGGGCCGGAGTGCTGATGTCAGAAAAGCACTATTTGCTTGAAACCACAAAGCTACTCAACAGCTTCAAGATGACTATATAAGGGCCTTGTGAAACAGTCAGGTTGATAATTGTCTGTGTTTCCTGCTGAGTGCTGCATTTCAGAATGTTGAGACTGCAAATATACATGCACAACTGAACTACAACCTGTCTTATGGTGCTCTTTTTATGATGGAAACAGCCATGCAGCAAAGTTAAAAGTTAAACAAACAACTTGCTAACATGTTTAGAAAATATGTGACTGCACGCGTGTCGATCCACGAATTCTGTGCCACAGATTACTTTCAAAACTGCTTCCAAAATGTAATAAAAGCAAACACGCCAAACACATTAGAAGTAATGCGACTGTCCTGCTGATGCTAATTAAAGCTGTTTTCTGTTTGTATAACACGGCTCAGTCTCACTCACATTATGGCTCGTATCTTGTAAAGACAAATTAGCACATGTTTGTTAATCAGAATGAAAACAAAATATAACACAGAAACAAAGCTCATTAGTAATATCTAAATGAATGTTTTACCAACATTTGACATCTTACTTGTCTTATTTGCAATCTTACGGAATTGTGACAGAAAGTCTTAAAACGAGCTTCTAAATATTCACAAACCTAACCTAGTAGGTTAAGTTATAAGCCCAATTTTAATGAAAAAGATCATCTCTCTTCAAGAAAGTCATGCAGAGGTCAAACAGTAGACCTCTGGTAGATAAAAAAGAAAGAAAACCTACCAACACCTGCTTTGTGTGCAGTTGGAAAAGTATGTATTTCATTAAATAATTCTGTCCTATTCTTGAGTATCCAGGGCTCACGCTCTGATTGGCATGGGCATAACACACCATCAGGTAAGCCAGGGCTAATTTACAGATGAATTCACCCAAGGTGAAAAATATTTACAACATCTGAGGGCACAGTGGATTTTATTTCACAGGAAAATGCATGAGAACAGACTTAAGTTTAGGGGTTGGATCAACAGTCCAACTTTTAGTTTAATCATGGATGAGATCAGGAATTTCAGGAATGACCAAAAACGTACATTAATAATGATGTAGGTGATCAAGAGGTGAGGAAATTCACCATGTTGCCTCACACCAACACATTTGTGGGATCAGTTTGCTTTGGGCCTGTGGTTTGCATTGCTCTTACAATGAACGGCCAAAGATCTCCTGCTTCCACTCTTAGTCTCTATTTACAGATTTAGGGCACTACACTTCAGAATTAACCATAAATCATAGGGTACAAAACGGCTACCTTTTGATCCACGCGATAAGCAGGCTGCCAGTGACACAGCTGATTTAAAAAAAATAGCCACATAAGCCAGAACACCGGAAGATTATTTCAGGAATGTTGCAGTGACTAAAATAACATCCAGCTGGTTCAAAAGGTGATGGATACTGACTTTCCACTGGAGCTCTCTCTCGCAAGCACTTAAATAAATAAATCTTGATAAAGCCGCGGTGCATCCCACTCTCTACCCCACCCTAAACCCCTCCCTCGCCTCCTCCCGCACCCACGCACTCGGGAGATGGGAGAAGAAGTTTGCCCGCGGCGCGGTCCACTGAACACTAACTGTACTTCATTTGGGGAGCAGCAACAAGAGCCTCCGGAGAAGCTTTCAAGGGAATGCTGAGGAATATCCGCCGACCGAGAAACACTACCCACAGCCGAGCCTCCCCTTCTGTTTAACACAAAGAGAAAGGAGAAACAAAAACACAAAAAACAAAAAAAAACCCAGCGCAGTTCCTCAATCATTGATGTGGTTAAACTAGAGAAAAAGCTCGTGCCAATTTGGACAGCGGCCGCACGCGGACTCTCGTCTGTCGGACGGCGCTTTTAATTCGTGGGTCCGAGACGAGAAGACCGAGGCGAGAAGAAGACCAACCCGAGCCGCTGAAAGTCACACAGAGCGCCACTCAGGATGAATAGCAACAAAATCGAGAAAGAGAACGAGCAGAGCGAATTCTCCAACCACGAAGAGGAGGTAGGTAGCCCCGCCGCCCACCTGGCGACGGCAGACAACGGCTCGTTGACCCGTGAAGAAACCTTTTATTTTTAATTAATTATTCTGCTAACGAAGCGACTCTGTAGCCCGTAAAAGCTTCATTTTTTAAATCTACCTGTGAACGCGAGGTACCTGAACTCACTCCTGTCGCTTTTTAAATAAAACTAAAACCCGAAAAGTTGGCATGACTGAGGCGGGGTGCGCACCTAAATGCATCACGGTGCCTTCCTGTAGGTGGGACATAATTCCTCACCTGTCGACTATTTCCCTCCCTGATTTATCTGTGGGCCCTGTCATTATGAAAAATGGCCTTTGTTTCTTTTCAAATGGAGTGAGGGAAAAGAAAAGGAACAAAGCAGAATCAGATGAATCACTAACGACTAGTTCCTGAATAAATTGGAAGCCAGCACAGAGTTGTTATCTGTGGCTTACTGTACAGTGAAGCCAGACTTCACACAACTCTGGAAAGCAGCAGAGGGGGGAATTCTGAGCCAGGGCGAATTAGTTCTCAGTGAAGCTGGGGAGCTATTGAAGTTCAAACAACTGCTGCAACATGTAGGCAATAACTCTTTGTAACCCAGACTTTCTGCTTCACAGTCCGGCAAGAGTAGCCTCTCCTCCTCTATTTAATTGAATGTAAACACACCGGGATGAAGTCATTTTCCCCCAAAAGATGTGAAGTATCTCGTTCGCAGTGGGTAAGATAGCGGTCCCATTCCTTCATTCTCTCCTCTGTAAACATTGAGCAATCTGGTTCAACAGTATCTCATCTTCTGGTAAATAGATTTGTAGTGGATCACTTTGCATGAGGGGCTTTTCTTTGGCACAGCTGTGCCTGCATTCAAATGAGGGGGGGGTGTTATTTCAGAGCCTCGCACATCCGCAGCAAAGGGATGTAAGAAAGGTATATCAGATTATATCAGATATTTCTCTTGGCGTAATTTGATTAAGGCTCAGGGTAATGCTCGTCACTTTGTAACTGAATAGCCAAACATGCCCCACTGATGTAACACCATATTTGGTCCTCTGGTGAGGTTACTATGGATGCAGGGAGACTCGGTAACACCACTCAGATGAGGTAAAGAGTAGGAAAAAAAACAACTAACTTCTTGGAAAGGGTTTCAGTGTAAAATGTCATTGACTTTGTGGCTCAGAGGATCTTTAACTCTATTTTCAGGTTAGATTATCGATTTAGGGCTGCATGTGTGATTATTATCGTTATTAAATAGACTCTTGGTTGTTTGTTCTAACGATGTAATGTGTAAGTCCAAAAAAACTGCAGTCTGAAATATACAGGTGTCAGTTTGGTCTGATTTGTATTGGAAAATGGAAAAAAGAAAAGTAAACACTGACATTTCAAAATCAGGAATCAGATAAGTTTGTTTATTTTTTGCACGGAAGACTGGACTGATAATTCTCCTTATCGGCTCTCTAAATTGGTTTAACTTAGCAGAAGCTCCTCTGTGGTGTTTTTCTCTGGGATTTTCTAAACATTAATCATTGCTTCCTGTAGCTTTCGTTGGGAGGGTTAATGTTTAATCTGATTTTAATGTGGGATGTTTATACTGTCAGAGAGTCAGCAGAGCGCAGAGTTCATTGTTGGTTTGAAAAAATTGTCACTGTTTTAAGACGTGGAATGCATAAAATCGTCATTCAAAGCTCAGCCCATGCTGGAAGCATCACTTTACGCAGCGAAACATGTTTGAAATCCTGTCATGTCCTCGAGCTCGGGGACCAGACGAGCTGTCTGTGGCACTGTGGAGAAAGGCAGACATAGAGGCAGTTGGAGTAATGACCAGAGGAGTCTAATGTTGTGGAAACGTTTGGAAGCCTTCCAGAATAGCGGGGACTTGAATTCACTTGGATGAATTAACCTGAGATTAGACGCCACCGCTTTTTTTTCCCTCTGGCGTAATGATTTATGTCTGATGCTGGAGAGCAGCGAGGTCGGGAGAGCTGAGAGGCTGCGCCGGACATCTGCAAAAATCTGCTAATGGGCCCGAGACTAATGCGGCCAGTCTCTGATCGTGACTGCCGCTTCTTCCGCGGGACTTCACGTCCGGTTGAACCGAGCTAGTTTCTGCTCTGGCTGAGCGAAGAGCTTCCTGCTGAGCAACAGAGTAGTGTAACCATAAAGTTTAACCTCATGGGAGCCAAAGTTGAGCAGTGTGGCTGATGTGACTCTCACATGCTGAACAGCAGCACCCCCCCCCCCCCCCTTCCCCCCTGTGTAATACAGGACTCAATGGATCACTGATTTGCACCAGTGAAGTAGCGTTACGAGCCTGTCTCCTCATGCCTGCTCCGTGGCTCGACCTCTCACAGGGGCCGGCGCGGAGCACAGCCGGGCAGCGCTCGATGTTTATCTTGCGTGGACCAGCGCTCACCAAACATGGTCTCGTAGCAGCCGAGGTATGCGAGCTCTGGGCCCCGGCTGCGTCTAATCTGGAGCGCCGCTTTGATAAGCGCTGCTATCAGGTGTTCTGGAGGCTTTCACCTATCGCGGCACTCGCCGCTGATGAAGCCGAGGTGACATGCCGTCGACTGCATGGTGAACGTCAGAGATATGCCTCCCTATCGGGGCTGGTTTCCAGACCTTGTATGGAGAAACCAGAAGATATATTTCTCTTAGAAGAAATCCCCCTATGATGAACTAGACAAAAAAAAAAGGGAGCAGTGAGTGCTGTGATTTAGAGTAGCAGAAATACCCAACATGAAGTTATTCCACCCCCCCCAACTGTGAAAATCAGCTGATTTTAGCTTTTATTCAATATTGTGAACGGCTCATGTTTGGATTTTGGACTGTGAGGTAGAAGAAACTAAAGGAACATGACTTCACTTGGGCCCTCTGGGAAAAGGGCTGACATTCTTTCTGTGCGTTTTGACATTTAGTGGAGAAACGGAGACGGCGGAGAGAAGGTGCAGGGAAGCCAGGGCAGGTTTTCGTATATGTGGAATGCTTTGTAACAAATCAAGTCAACCGACTGACTAGGCCTGACCTTTCACCTCTCTGCTGTCAATTCTCCTCTGGCTAACTCGTGTTTGCCTAAGTTGAAACTCCAAAGCCTTGAATGTCTGCAAACAACTCTTGAATTCTTCACAGATGAGGGAACACAGAATATTTGTTTTTATTAGTTTCTCTGCAGGATTTCAGCCGACGTCACCTGGGATGACAGTTTGTTGGAAAATTGACTTATGGATATGTTTAAGTGGATTTAAACCCTGTCGGTCAGTTGTTGGCTCTCGTCCCTTGCTGACCGTGAACATGTAAGTAGGTCTTTACAAGCTACTTAACAGACACAAAACATCACTCAAGCAGAGTTCGGCAAATCTGGTGCCTCTCCCCGGGGGCGTACTCGGGTTTAGCTCGGTCTGCGCTGGATATCCTCTCCGAATAACAGGTCATGTGGCCACCGCGACCTTTTCCATGAAGAGATGTAGGTGGGGAGCTGCGCTGTGGGAGAGGCAGGGCGGGCCGGAGGGAGGCCGGCGCTGGTCTGCAGCACAGCGGCGCGGCCGCGTGTGCGCGCTCCCTCCGTGTGCACGGATCTATGAAAAGGGCACGCGGATACATTAACTACCTGTGACATGAGACGTTACCAGAGGGCAGCGCGGAGGGGAATGTGGCCGTGGTAAGGAGAGAGTGAAAACACACGGGGGGGCTCTGACGCATTGTTGAAGATTTACTGCAGATTAAGACCATGCAGCGGTTTCAACATCGCAGGTACGCCATGAGGCAAACGGTAACACAGACAATAAAGCAGCCTCAGACTAACAGCAAAGCCCTGCTACAGCTACCCATCTGATAGGTGGGAGTTTATTTATAAAAGCACCAAGGGAATTGTCATCTTATCTTAGCCATTTGTCAGCTGCGTGACAAGAGGTATTTGAAAAGACAACAACGAGGCCTGGCATCGAGACGGATGCGAGACGAAAGGAAGCGAGTATATTTAGTACAATAAGTTACCTCTGCCTTTTTTCTCCTGTCATCAGTTAATGTATGTTTCTGTGTAATATTCTTTCCTTAAAAGAGCCCGCCTGTCACTTTGCTTTGTGAGGAATGACAGACTCCATCCAGTGTTGTGATAGAAGGAGGTGTGAGCTTCTCTCCCAGACGGTGTGAGACATCTTGTCTTGCTTTGTCACCCAGTGTTTATGCACTTATTCTGTCACCTTCACTAAATGTTACTTCCTCAAAAGCTATAATTATCCCCCTCACAGTTTACAGTATCTCGTCTCTATCTCTCTTCACACCTGCTATCGCATTCATTTGATGTTCTTTACACTTCCTAAGCCAATAATTCTCCATCTCATCCATTTTTTTCCTTTGTCCCTGCACCAGCGACCCGTCCTCTCCTGGTCCCCTCGCTCCACTTTTATCTCCCTTCCCTTCCATTTCCTTCCCTCCTTCCTTTCCTATTTCCCAGCCCTTTTTCTTCCCTCTTTCTGCCTTTATCTTGCCCTCTTGCCATTTCCTCCTGGCCTCCCTCGCTCCACCCTGGTACTGTTTATTATTTACCACTCTCCATCTCTTCTTGTTTCTTGGCTCAGGTTTTCATCCTGCTTTTCAACCCTCTGTTCCCCTTTTTTTTCCCCGGGACAGCACATGCCTCAGATCTCTGATCTTGATGCTCATGGAAAGATTCTTGAGGACAGAAGATTGCTGGACATGCCGGTAATTGAGAGAAAACTTTCATTGGGCTGTCCACATGTGTCCCTTAGGCCTTTAAAGTTAGCAGCCAGAGCTTGCGCGCCGCTGTCAAACCAGACTAGAAACCATGCTTTTACATAGCCCCGAATTAGCCAATAGAGGCTAATTTGTTGTTTTGCTGTCTGCTGAAGGTTGTAATTTTAGAAGCAAGACAAATTACAAAACAGTACACCATGATCTAAGAGTACAAGGCTGGCTCATGATGTCAGGATAGTCTCAAACACAAATCTTTTTTACTGGGGAAAAATGCATAATAATTATAATTTTT